TGAATTTTTAATACCAATCATCAGCATAAGCTAAGGCTCAGAGGGAAAACGTGCGTGAAGTTGGCACAACAACCATATAATAATTAACTTTTCTGGTATGGAATCGTTTGGTCATCGTTTGGTCATGTTAGGAAACTAACTTTCTACGTTTGGATGCAATAAATAAAAAAGTTATTCAACTTTTAAATTTATAGTGCTAACTTTACATTTGCACAACAAAAGTTAATATATTTTTAAAATTTTAATGCCAATCGTTTGGTCATCGTTTGGATAAGATTGGAAACACCATTCAAGCGTTTGGACGATTCATAAAATAATTATAAAACATTTTAAAGATTTTTGTTCACAGCACACTGGAAATAAGGCTATTCAAGTTGGGTGGGGAAACATTTAAAGATGGATGCTTGCTGGTGCACAAACAATGAAAAAAATAAGTAAAAGGGACTGACAACTAAATATAGAATAATTTTTTATTACACTATGGTTAAAAAATGATTTTTAAAAAGTTATGGTTGAAAAACTTAAGTCCTATTGAGTTTAATTGAATTTAATGCACTGTTTGTGCACCAGTAAGCATCCATTTTTAAATGTCTCCCCACCCAACTTGAATAGCCTTATGTATAAAGTTGCGTAAAAGGATCTGCGCATGGGCATTCTTAGCGCGAAATTTTGAAATCTTCTTGCATTACTCATAAAGATTATTATTGTTAGTTTTTAAATAAATTTTAGGTTATTATTATTACTATTATTTTTTATTTTTCTACTATGAAATCGTTATAGTAATAATAATAACCTACAATTTATTTAAAAACTAACAATAATAATCTTTATGAGTAATGCAAGAAGATTTCAAAATTTCGCGCTAAGAATGCCCATGCGCAGATCCTTTAAAGGTACTGCCACAGCTCTCTGCTGCCTGCGCAGGCAGCTGAGATACAATGAGAGTGAGGGAGAAAAAGCATGAATTTGAATTTTCTTTCTCCCTTACTCTCATTGTATCTCAGCTGCCTGCGCAGGCAGCAGAGAGCTGTGGCAGTACCTTTACGCAACTTTATACATTTCCAGTGTGCTGTGAACAAAAATCTTTAAAATGTTTTATAATTATTTTATGAATCGTCCAAACGCTTGAATGGTGTTTCCAATCTTATCCAAACGATGACCAAACGATTGGCATTAAAATTTTAAAAATATATTAACTTTTGTTGTGCAAATGTGAAGTTAGCACTATAAATTTAAAAGTTGAATAACTTTTTTATTTATTGCATCCAAACGTTGAAAGTTAGTTTCCTAACATGACCAAACGATGACCAAACGATTCCATACCAGAAAAGTTAATTATTATATGGTTGTTGTGCCAACTTCACGCACGTAGAGGGAAAAGATTGATCCCATAGCTCCCAATGCATGTTTGCAACCTCAAAAAGAGAATTTCAGTTTCCTAATTTTAATCAAAAAACCTATATATTTATTTTATTAAAAGAAAAAAAACATTCAAAAAAGATGTAAAAAAAATAATAATAAAATTTTTATAGGCTTAAATATTAAAAAATGTATTTAAATAATTTTTTGAAAAAGTAATCAAAATCATTACACATCATAGTCAACATATGGTTGGTACTACTGGAATATTAGTATATTGTCAGAGGTTAACCTCAAATTTTTTAGTGTTGAGAACACGAAAATTACGATGGCTATAGCACTCAGAGAAATAAATTTTTTTTTGTAAAAATTATATATTTATTTATGAATTGTTTATTAACAATCGTTGAACTTTTACTACCAATCATAAGCGTAAGCTAAGAATTAGAGGGAAAAAAGAATTTTTGATGCACAACAATTTTTAAGCTAGCACACAGGAAAATAATTTTTTTTTGAAAAAATTGTTTATTTATTTATGAATTGTTTATTAACAATCGTTGAATTTTTACTACCAATCATCAGCATAAGTTTAGAATTAGAGGGAAAAAAGAATTTTTGATGCACAACAATTTTTAAGCTAGCACGCAGGAAATAAATTTTTTTTTTTGTAAAAATTGTTCATTTATTTATGAATTGTTTATTAACAATCGTTCAATTTTTACTACCAATCATCAGCATAAGTTTAGAATTAGAGGGAAAAAAGAATTTTTGATGCACAACAATTTTTAAGCTAGCACTCAGGAAAATAATTTTTTTTTGAAAAAATTGTTTATTTATTTATGAATTGTTTATTAACAATCGTTGAATTTTTACTACCAATCATCAGCATAAGTTTAGAATTAGAGGGAAAAAAGAATTTTTGATGCACAACAATTTTTAAGCTAGCACTCAGGAAAATAATTTTTTTTTTTGTAAAAATTGTTTATTTATTTATTAATTGTTTATTAACAATCGTTGAATTTTTACTACCAATCATCAGCATAAGTTTAGAATTAGAGGGAAAAAAGAATTTTTGATGCACAACAATTTTTAAGCTAGCACGCAGGAAATAAATTTTTTTTTGAAAAAATTGTTTATTTATTTATGAATTGTTTATTAACAATCGTTGAATTTTTACTACCAATCATCAGCATAAGTTTAGAATTAGAGGGAAAAAAGAATTTTTGATGCACAACAATTTTTAAGCTAGCACTCAGGAAAATAATTTTTTTTTGAAAAAATTGTTTATTTATTTATGAATTGTTTATTAACAATCGTTGAATTTTTACTACCAATCATCAGCATAAGTTTAGAATTAGAGGGAAAAAAGAATTTTTGATGCACAACAATTTTTAAGCTAGCACGCAGGAAATAAATTTTTTTTTTTGTAAAAATTGTTCATTTATTTATGAATTGTTTATTAACAATCGTTCAATTTTTACTACCAATCATCAGCATAAGTTTAGAATTAGAGGGAAAAAAGAATTTTTGATGCACAACAATTTTTAAGCTAGCACTCAGGAAAATAATTTTTTTTTGAAAAAATTGTTTATTTATTTATGAATTGTTTATTAACAATCGTTGAATTTTTACTACCAATCATCAGCATAAGTTAAGAATTAGAGGGAAAAAAGAATTTTTGATGCACAACAATTTTTAAGCTAGCACGCAGGAAATAAATTTTTTTTTTTGTAAAAATTGTTTATTTATTTATGAATTGTTTATTAACAATCGTTCAATTTTCAATACCAATCATCAGCATAAGTTTAGAATTAGAGGGAAAAAAGAATTTTTGATGCACAACAATTTTTAAGCTAGCACTCAGGAAAATAATTTTTTTTTGAAAAAATTGTTTATTTATTTATGAATTGTTTATTAACAATCGTTGAATTTTTACTACCAATCATCAGCATAAGTTAAGAATTAGAGGGAAAAAAGAATTTTTGATGCACAACAATTTTTAAGCTAGCACGCAGGAAATAAATTTTTTTTTTTGTAATTACTGTTTATTTATTTATGAATTGTTTATTAACAATCGTTGAATTTTTACTACCAATCATCAGCATGAGTTTAGAATTAGAGGGAAAAAAGAATTTTTGATGCACAACAATTTTTAAGCTAGCACTCAGGAAAATAATTTTTTTTTTTGTAAAAATTGTTTATTTATTTATTAATTGTTTATTAACAATCGTTGAACTTTTACTACCAATCATAAGCATAAGTTTAGAATTAGAGGGAAAAAAGAATTTTTGATGCACAACAATTTTTAAGCTAGCACGCAGGAAATAAATTTTTTTTTTTGTAAAAATTGTTTATTTATTTATGAATTGTTTATTAACAATCGTTGAACTTTTACTACCAATCATCAGCATAAGTTTAGAATTAGAGGGAAAAAAGAATTTTTGATGCACAACAATTTTTAAGCTAGCACGCAGGAAATAAATTTTTTTTTTTTGTAAAAATTGTTTATTTATTAATGAATTGTTTATTAACAATCGTTTAATATTCAATACCAATCATAAGCATAAGCTAAGAATTAGAGGGAAAAAAGAATTTCTCCTGCTCAACAATTTTTAAGCTAGCACTCAGGAAAATAATTTTTTTTTTTGTAAAAATTGTTTATTTATTTATGAATTGTTTATTAACAATCGTTTAATATTCAATACCAATCATAAGCATAAGCTAAGAATTAGAGGGAAAAAAGAATTTCTCATGCACAACAATTTTTAAGCTAGCAGGCAGGAAATAAATTTTTTTTTTTTGTAAAAATTGTTTATTTATTTATGAATTGTTTATTAAAAATCGTTGAACTTTTACTACCAATCATCAGCATAAGTTTAGAATTAGAGGGAAAAAAGAATTTTTGATGCACAACAATTTTTAAGCTAGCACTCAGGAAAATAATTTTTTTTTGAAAAAATTGTTTATTTATTTATGAATTGTTTATTAACAATCGTTGAATTTTTACTACCAATCATCAGCATAAGTTAAGAATTAGAGGAAAAAAAGAATTTTTGATGCACAACAATTTTTAAGCTAGCACTCAGGAAAATAATTTTTTTTTTTGTAAAAATTGTTTATTTATTTATGAATTGTTTATTAACAATCGTTTAATATTCAATACCAATCATAAGCATTAGCTAAGAATTAGAGGGAAAAAAGAATTTTTTATGCACAACAATTTTTAAGCTAGCACGCAGGAAATAAATTTTTTTTTTTGTAAAAATTGTTTATTTATTTATGAATTGTTTATTAACAATCGTTTAATATTCAATACCAATCATAAGCATAAGCTAAGAATTAGAGGGAAAAAAGAATTTCTCATGCACAACAATTTTTAAGCTAGCAGGCAGGAAATAAATTTTTTTTTTTGTAAAAATTGTTTATTTATTTATGAATTGTTTATTAACAATCGTTGAATTTTTACTACCAATCATCAGCATGAGTTTAGAATTAGAGGGAAAAAAGAATTTTTGATGCACAACAATTTTTAAGCTAGCACTCAGGAAAATAATTTTTTTTTTTGTAAAAATTGTTTATTTATTTATGAATTGTTTATTAACAATCGTTGAATTTTTACTACCAATCATAAGCATAAGTTTAGAATTAGAGGGAAAAAAGAATTTTTGATGCACAACAATTCTTAAGCAAACGCGCAGGGAAGTAAATTATTTATTTAAAAATTCTTTGTTTATTTAAAAATTAAGTTAATAATTAAGTAACATTTATTTATTAAGTAGAAGGTATTATTATTATTATTTTGATTAAATTAAATAATTTTGTCGTCGTACTAAAAGACATACTTATATAGTTTGAATTTCCCTGTTGATAAACATGGCCGACCGTTGTGCGCATGCGCAGTATTGTGTAGCACGGGTAGCACGTTACTCTGTGTATTATATTTTGTTAATTTTTTTTAATGTTATATTTTCTGCAGTTTGTATTACCAAAAGTCAGGAAGTAGTTACCAATCACTACCAAACGACTACCAAACGGTTTCCAGTTTTTATTTTACAAAAAATTGTATTTGCAGTGCTATCGTGAAATTAGCACGCCAAACTTAAAACTTAAATAAATCTTTCAATTTTCGCTACCAAACAAAAAAAACTGACTACCATACACTACCATACGATTACCAAACGAATTCAATTAATTAAATATTAATTTTCTCTAGTTGTTGTGCCAACTTCACGCCGCTTAGACTTTAGTGCAAAAAAATATTGGAGAAAAATTTAATATTTTTCATCTTTCAGTTAATGTGATTATTTAACTGATTTGTGACAGTAAATTGACGAAGAATTAAGAAATGGACAATACTCTGGATATACAGGTTTTTTATTTAACTTATAATCTTTTATAAATCATTAAAATTTTGACGATTTTGACGCTCCACCACTTCCACTATTTATTTATTTTTGAAATTAATGAATTAATTAATTAAATATTTTTAACTAACTGTTAAATAATTCTCATTATTAATCAATAATTCTTTTTAAGTATGTAAATAATTGAAACAAACCAAAAAACCTTAAAGCGCGAGTAATTTAAAGGTTATGTTTACTTCGTTTTTGTGTTTTGCACGTGCTTTTCATCGTGTCCGGAACTCCTAAAAAATCATCAAAAATATAGAATGAATTTTAAAATTGTTTTCAAACGAAATCTTCTTAATTTTTCTAAATTGTAATTTTATATACATTTTTTAGATTTCGTAAATTAAAAAATTTACGATAAAATTTTAAACTTATAAGAAATTTTCTTAAATATATAGAAGAGAATCTATATTATGACAATGGAAGTAGATTTGGAAAAACCAGGAAATTTAGAAGAAAGTATAACAGAACTTGCAAGGAATGAAATTGACAGTGTGACAAGTTCAAATAAAAATGTTTCTGAAACTGAAAAATCACTTGATTCAATATATCAAGACAATAAAATTGAAACTCATTTAAATAGCGATTGTGCTCCAATAATGGAAAAGCAGAATCATAATGAAGGTAATGTGGAAGATTTTCAATTATTTAGAATTATTATTTATGACTTTTTTATTTTTCAAATAGTCTACCTAACTAAATGATAATTACAGACCTCAGATTGACTTAAAGCGCAAAAATAGTCGAAAAACTCTATTATTTTATTCAGTGTTGTCACAAAAATTACATTTTTATTTCCCTAACTATTTATTGATTTCTAAAATCAATTATTCAAAACTTTGATAATTTTATTAAATGAATATTTAAATGCTTAATTTTATTTTCCCATAAGAATTAAAATTTTTTAATTACAATTTCAAACTTTATAAAATTTAATTATTTTTAAAAATTACAACTGAAACCCTTTCATAATTTAATTATTTTCTAGAATTATAGAGTTATTAAGATGAATTATAAAAAATAAATAAACGAAAATAGTGAAAAAAAAGTGCTTTTTATAAAATTAATCTGTTAAATGTTATTCTGTTATTCTGTTTAAAATAATTTAATTCATTCAAGAAATTTGATTAAATTATTGGAAATAATTCAATTCTTTAAAATAATTGCTTTATTTTTTTTTATTATAATCGATTTTGTTAACAATTATAATTAATTATTTGAAAAAAAATAACACCTAGATATTCGTACCGGCTTACAACTTCAATTCGTTCTTTACCAAAACCAAAATATTTCAATTTTTTAGCCCTTGACCTTCCGGATTTCGTAAAAACAACTATTTTAGTTTTAGTAGCGTTTACTGTTAAGTTATTTTCTTCGCAATACAAACGAAGAGCTTCTAATTTTTTTCTCACTTCTGAAGGTGAATCTGAAAGCATAACATAATCGTCGGCGTATCCTAGCATCATAATTTCTATAAGATGGTTAATGGCAACCCCTCTACAATTTTTTAAGATCAAATACTCCTCCATATCCCGTATAAACAATATAAAAAGTAACGGGCTAAGGACTTCTCCCTGCAAAACCCCCCTGGAAACATTAACATATTGCGTTGTTCCGTCCTTATTCTTTATACAGGTATATGCTTGTGAATAAAAACTTTTTAGAATATTTATTAACTTAGAAGATAAACCCAGACTTTCCAATTTTCTCCATAATAGATTATGCGAGATTGATGGAAAAGCTCCCTTAAAATCAATGAAAATAGCATACAAGATAGCTTTTGGTTTAGCAAGATGGATCTGAATGATAGAAAGTAGTGTAAAGAGATTATCCATACAACTTCTTCCTTTTCTGAATCCGGATTGAGATTCCGGTATCAGATGTAAATCTTCAGCCCAAGCTACCATTCGCATATAAATTATTTGAGTGAAAAGTTTCGCGATGCAATTTACCAAAGTTATTGGTCTATAATTGTCAGGATTTGTGACTTCCCCCTTCTTAAAAAACATAGTGGTAGTCATTTTACCCCAAGATTCGGGGACATATTCTTTCTTTAAAATCGAATTGAAGAAATGTGTAATGAATAAAACCCAATTTTGTGGTAAACTTTTATAGAAATCATTGCTAATCCCATCAACTCCGGGAGCCTTTCCACACTTACACCATGAAATACATTTAATTACTTCGGCATAGGTAATTTCACCGTCTAAATTTGGTTGATAACATCTTAGTGACGCAGTATTCAAAGAAGTGCCGGTTGCAGAAATCTTATCTCCTTATCCTGGAGAAGTATGGTCACTCTTTGCGAGTAATGGATGATAAGCGTGTTGTATCGTCAAGCAGTCTTTGCATTTATCCTTCTCTCCCCATACGATTGGGTGCGCAGCCATACCTAAAAGCCAGAAACTTGCTATCTTGTAAGAGAACATTTGCTCAAATTAGATTATGTAATAAGTATGTCAATAGAATAATAACAGATAATTTTGTGTATAAATTCGAAAATAATATGATTTGCGCTGCTTGTAGAAGAGAGTTAGACTCTCTATATCATATTTTACTGGACTGTCCTTCATGCTCTCATATTTGTGAATATCACTTCCCGATTCTTTTAGAAAAAACTGATCGAACCGAAGCTTGGAGTGAGATTTTGTCATCGGAAGATTCTAATGTAATTAAAAGATTCGTACGTATGATTGTGGAGATCCTGGGTGAGCGTATCTCTAGATTCTAGAAGTTGAATGTTTTGCGAACAAGAGAGGCTTGTGATTCAAATTTTATTTCGTAGCCATATTTTAGTTTATTGTTTCTTATTTTTTAATCGCTCTGATGTATTGTAATATAATGAGACTTCACTTGTATAAACCAATAGGTTATGAAACGAGTTAATAAATATACTCAAATAATTAATTATTTTACTATTAAATTTGATTAAAATTATTGATAATAAATTAATTTTTCTTAAAGAATTTCTTTAAGTTTTTTTTGAAAATAATTGAATTAAATAAAGAATTTTTTCAACATTTTAAAATAATCGTGTCTGTTAATATAATAATAATAAAAGAATAAAAGAATTTTTTATTTATAAAAAATAAAAATAGTTGAATTGTTCCAAAGAATTTATTAAAATTTTAGGAAATAAATGAATTTTATATAAATATTTGAAAATAATTAAATTCTTTTGAGGAATTCTATTGAAATTGTTTTGAAAAGAATTGAATTTGTGCAAAGAATTTTACTATTTACAAAAATAATTGAAATGATTGAAGAATTTATTAAAATTTTAGGAAAAACTGAATCGTTTTGAAGAATTTTATAGAAATATTTGAAAATAATTAAATGCTTTCAAAAAATTCAATTAATGTTGTTTCGAAAATAATTAAATTTCGGTAGAGAATTTTATAAAAATTAAGTATATTCAGAAATTTTCAAAATAATTGTATTCATATGTATAAAAATAATTAAATTTTTGCGAAGAATTTTATTGTTTATAAAAATAATTGAATCGTACCGTTTAGAAGGATTTATTAAAATTTTAAAAAATAATTGAATTCTTTCGTGAAATTTTATTAAAATTTTGTTAACAAATAATTGAATTTTTGCGAAAAATTTTACATTTATAAAAATAATTGAATTCTTTCAAAGAAGAATTTGCTACTTTTAATAATAATTGAGGGGACGGCTTCTAAAAGGGGATACGCGTGGATTCTCGCGTTTAAGTTTTGTCCACTTGGTCAATTTTTGAAAGTATTACAAATTGCAATTTGAATTACCGAAGTTTGTGGAAAATGGAAAGGCGCATCTTTTTTCTTTAAGAAATAAATTTATATCTTTTTTAGTTTATAAAATAATGAGAAAAAACTAAATTTTTGAAAACCAAAAAATTTAAATGTTTTACGTCTTTAACTCGTGCTGGTGTTTTTGATTTTTCATATTTTGTAATCAAACAAAAACAAACTCACAGATTAAGGTTTCCTGAAACCAACTATATTTTTAAAACTTCAAAATCTTAATTAATAAAAAGTTTATTAATTTTTTCGAAATACATTGCAAAAAATGTTTTTTTTAACTTTCAACGCTTCGTTTATCTAGGAAATTTCAAGGTACAAAAAACTTCCAGTGAGAAAGTTTTTTATTACGATACGGACAAGTTTTCTCTAAAATTTTATTAAAATGATATGGATATTTACAAAGTTATTAATGTTTAAAGCGTATGGTGCGTCAGATTTCTTGCGCCTGGAACGCATTGAGTACCGAATTGTTCGTTTGCATGGAACATATTAAGACTATTTTAGTTTATTCATTTGTTTACTTAAAATAAATACAATTTTTATTAAAGTCACTGATAAATTTTTGCAATATTATTATTATTAAGAAGTAACCAATAATAATTAGCCAAAATCGTCTGGAAATAGTTAAAATTTACTGACATACAAATAATTAGTACACAGTTATTTTGACATAAATGTAATGTTAATTTAACTAATAAAAGTTTATTAAGAATAGTAAAAATATTATTATTTTAATTTTTGACTGGTTTTTTAATATCAAAGTAATTATTTTTAAATAATATTTAACTATGGATTATGACGATTCATCTAACTTTATATAACAGTAGCATCAGTTTATTTATTCTAACATGTATTGTACGTAAAGATATATGAAATTATTTTTAAAAAAATATTGCAGAATTATTCGCAAAATAAATTGTACAATAATTCCATATTGTATTTAATACTTGAAGTTAAAACAAATTTTATTTTATTTATATCTGTATTTTGGCAAACATTTTCATACAATAGATTTTTTTTTTGTTATCATGTGCACTTCAAGGAAGTACCTAACCCTTTTTTATATGCTATTTTTCTCAAAGTTGTCATTTGTTTTCACTCTACGGAAAAATATGGTGTCCAGATGAGTCGCGGTTGCCGCGACCGTTGACTGCAAAAAAAAGGGTTCGGTAAAACCCAATACAATTTTCCCAGGATTTCGAGATTTTTTTATCACAATTAAGGAAATCGATATCTTTCTCCAAACGGACAGGAGTTTTTTAATAATTATTTTAAAAACATTAAATGTAGTAAACGAGATCATTTTGACGAAGAGTGGAAACCTTGAACTAAATGAAACAAGAAACTTAAAAATAAGAAATATTATTTTAGTTGACTTTTGTACATATATAACAAAATAAAATATTTATGTTAAAAATAAATTTCAATAAATTTTATTATATATATTGACAAACACATTTTTAACGCGTTGCAAACGAACAATTTGGGACTCAATGCGTTCCAGGCGCGAGAAATCTGACGTACCATATGCTTTAAACATTAATAACTTTGTAAATATCCATATCATTTTAATAAAATTTTAGAGAAAACTTGTCATTGAATTTGAAAATTGAAAATGTTTTAAAATCACACTATTCGTCAATACTTATACGTGAGAATCCACGCGTATCCCCTTTTAGAAGCCGTCCCCTCAATTATAGAGAATTAGATTTTTAATAAAATTTAATGTAATATTTTTTTTGCAGATATTTGAATTTTCGGAAATATGTAATTGAAAATATTGAAAATAATTGAATTTTAATAAATTATAATTGAAAAATTCTAAGAATTCAATTATTTTAAAAATGTGCAAGCAAAATTCTTCAAAAGATTTCTAAAAATATAATGAAATATTTTTAAAAATTTTATTATTTTCAATAAAAGTTTAAAAAAATTTGTAATTGAAAAATTTGACTAGTTATTTTTCGTACTATAAAAATCGAAATAAATTGCATTTTTATACCATAAAAGTGGTATTTTGTTCAAATATTTTGTAGAATAGGCGAAAAAGTCCTATTTTTTCAAAATAAATTGAAAAAAGTCTAGAAAGCCATACTATCCGAGGCCTGTTTAATTATATATCTAAATAATTATTTTTTTTATTTAATAATTATTCATTATTAATTTAATTGTTTTATTTAAATTATACTAATCTTATATTATTTACGTAGCTAATTGTCAAAAGACAACAGCGCTAAGTTCCATAGCAATGGACTATTATTCTTCAGACTCAGAAATGGATGAAGTTAACAACGAAGATTCACAAATGGAATTAGTTACCAATGAAGAGCAACAAGTGAATATAATTACTAATAAAAATCCACCAATGGAAACAGTCAGCAATAAAACACAGGAAGTTGAAGTAATCAATAATAAAGTACAAGAAGTAGAGATAATCAGTAAACAAACACAAGAAGTGGAAATAATAAGTAATGAAACACTAGAAGTAGAAATAATCAGTAAACAAACACAAGAAGTAGAAATAATCAGTAATAAAACGCCAGATATAGAAATAGTCATTAATAAAACACAAGAGGTGGAAAAAATCAGTCACAAAACACCAGAAGTTGAAATAATCAGTCATAAAACACCAGAAGTAGAAACAATCAGTAATAAAACACAAGAAGTCGAAATAGTCAGTAATGAAAAAGTATCGCCGGAAATTGAAATAATCAGTCATGAGAGAGCAGAAGTGTCAATAATCGATAAGGAAATTTCGGAAATTGAAATAAATAGCGAAGTGGAAGTTCTTAAGGAATATCGATCTCACAATGAAATTACTTGCAGCAGTGATGAAGTCGATAGCGAGGAAGATTCAAGTAGCAGTAGCAGTAGTGATGATTCCGAAAGTAGTAGCGACAGTGAGAGTTTATCTGTAAATAGTGTAAAAAGTTTGAATGAAAACAAAAAAATAGCAAGGTAACTAATTTAAAAAAATGGTTTATAAGTAATTTATCAATTTTCCAAATTTCAATTTTTTTTCTACTATTTGTACTTTAACAAATATTTTTTTTACAGTGAAAAAGGCAAGCAACGTGTTAGAAGACAAAGTAAAGGAGAATTTGATGATCTTCCACCTATTGAAGATCTAAACATTAATGTTCCTGAAGTACTTTGCGATCCACTAGGAGAAGTAATTATTATTTTTTTACCTCTAAATTTATAATAATAATAATTAGAGGTGTGCAAAAAGCTCGAATAGCATGGTCGAGCTCGAGCCAGGCTCGAGTTTTAGTCACTCAAAAATATTTGAGTGCTCGAAAAATTCAAGTGCTCAAAATTATTTTAGGTTTAATACTGCACGTGTCGGATGGAATTTGGTTCAAGTTCGGATTGATTCTGCTCAGTTCTGCTAGAAAAACGAAAAGCTTGAAATACTCGATCGAGCTTTTTGCACAACTCTAATAATAATAATTTCTTTCTAATTTATTTGAAAAATAATTTGTTTCGTATTTCTTCTATTAATGCTAATATTTGTATTAAACAGGTAGCCTGGATCGTTGATCAAATGGTAGTAGTTCGTCCAAAGCCAGGTAAACCAACTTTGAATTTAGAATCAATTCTTTTCATAGAACGAGGTCGTCGAGTTTTGGGTCGAGTATTTGATGTTTTTGGTCAAGTATCAGATCCCCATTATTGCGTTCGTTTCAATAACTCGAAACATATTCAAGAAAATAACATAAAAGTCGGCATGAATGTCTACTTTTGTCCCAATACGGAATACACTTCCGTTGTTTTCTTACATGAACTCACCAAGTATGTAAATCTAAATTATTTACATAATTATTTACTCTTATTTTTCACAATTTTTTCTGTATTAATTTTTTTTTAATTTGTGAATTAAATTCTATAATTAAATTATATTTTTAAAGAAAAAAAAATTGAAAATATATTTGATTGTAGGATGAAAGCTTCTGATCCGACTGATGACGATGAGCCGCCTCAATTTTCCGACGACGAGGAGGAGCAGGCGTATTATCAAAATTTGAGGAAACAACAAAAATCTGAGAAAGCCGTCGCTGAAAGTGGAATACCAACGAAAAAGAAGCGAACTAGTCAAAAATCTTCAAATGCGAAAAAGAATTCAACTGATTGGAAGTCACATCATCCTTGGAATACGAAAAGAAATATACAAAATAATTCTACTGCACAACGATTTTCAAGTCCTCAGGATTCTTATTCGCAAAATTGGTATGGAGCCACGCCGCCGTATCAACAGAATCCTTGGCCTCCATATCCGGTGTTTCCAAATCCAGCATGGTCGATGTATTATCCTTCGCCAAATTATAGAGGTAAGAAAATCTAAATATGTTTTATTCTGTCTTTTTTTTAATAATTACAAACCTTGGATGTTTACATTTTTGGACTTTTCCGACTATTTTCAAAACAGGCGACTTTTTCGATTATTCTTACAAAAATTGTAACAAAATACCACTTTTTTGCTATAAAATGCAACTAATTTTTATTTTTATAATATGAAAAATTAGTAGTCAAATCTTTCAAAAATGGTTTTTGGATATTTTTTTAAAGATATTTACATTTTTGAAAAATATGATTAAAAAGGTTTTAAATAATTGAAATTTTATTCAAAACAATTGATTTTTTAAAAAAATTTAGGTAATTAAAATTTGTAAATATGAAATAATAAAGAATTTTAATTCCAAATTTTTTAAATTATTGAATTTTCAAAAAATTTAAAGAGAAATATTGAAATAAAACTTTGAAAATGAAAATGAATAAAAATTGTGTTGAGAAAATTTTAATAAAATATTTTTAAAAAGAATAATTAGTAGAATGTTTTTATTATAGTTTTTTTAATTTAATTACTTTCATTATTTTAAATTACACATTTAAAAAAATTCAAATATCTATAAAAAGTAATTAACTATATATAAAAATTTTGTTAAAATCTAATTTTTTACAATAATTATTAATAAAGTTTCTAAAATCAATCATTATTTAAATTTTTTATTAAAATTTTTCTAAAATTAAATTAATTTTTTAAATTGTTCAAAAATTCTTTTGAGAAATTCAATTTTCTTTGAAAAATTATACTACAATATTTTTAAAAAAATTAATACTTATTAGATTTTTTTTTATCATAATTTTTTAAAATTCAATTATTTTCGAAAAAAGTAAATTAAAATACTTAAAAAATGTACTTTTTTAAACTTATCAAAATTTGAAAGATTACGTATGTTTAAATGTTTGCAATTAAAATTCTTCAAAAACTTGATTAATTTTTAATATTTTCTAAAAGTTCCTTTTAAAATGGTCTGTTGCATTTAAATTATTTGGAAATTTTTAAATTACATAATTGAAAAATCTATTATCTTTAAAAAATTATTCTACAATAAATAGTTAGAAACCTAATGTATCGAATTTTTTTGTTATAATTTTTTAAAATTCAATGATTTTTCATATTTTCAATTACTTATTTTTTTTCGAAAATTCATATATCTACAAGGAAAGAATTACATTAAAGTATTGTAAAAAATCTAATTTTGTAAGAATTATTATTTAAACTAGCAAATGTTACGCGCGGAACGTGATATTCAATTTATTATTATTATGCAAATTATAACATTTTCTATTTTCAAATATGAATTTTTTAATAATTTCAAATTCAAACTTTAAAAAAATTCACTTATTAACTAATTTACTAATTAATTATTCTTGTTTATTAATTTCAAAAATTTTAATAAAATTCTTCTTAAAAATTCAATTATTTTCATAAATAATAACATTCTTCGTAAGAATTCAATTATTTTTATAAATAGTAATATTTTTTGCAAAAATTATATTATTTTTAAACAAAATTTTAATAAAATTTCACGAATAAATACAATTATTTTCTAAAATTTTAATAAATCCCTCGAAACAATTCAATTATTTTTTTAAATAGTAAAATCTTGGCAAAAATTCAATTATTTTCAAAAAAATTCCAGGAAAGAATTCATTTTTTTTCTTAATTCGTTATAAATTATTTCAAAAGAATTAAATTATTTTCTAACATTTTAATAAATTCTTCAAAACAATTCAATTACACTATGATACAAAAAATGAAAAAATAAAATTACTTTAAATCGGACCTACCACAACTTGTTCGTCTTGAAAAACTGAAGAAAATGGTATATAATAAATTGCTTAAACACCCCCAAAATTTCATTTTAGAGACAAAAAACCAATTTTTTGTACTTTACGTATAAAATATCTTGTAACTTTTTCATTTTTGATCCGATTTCAACCATTTTTTTTCATTTTAAAGCTGAAAAATAGGGCTTTCTAAACCTAATTAGTGTTTTTGGTTATATTTAAAAATTAATTCAAAAAATTCAGTAAAAGTTCGAAAATTGCAAATTTTTAAAATAATTTTTCAACTTTAGTACTAATTTTATGCCCCAAATATTATTTGGAGTAGTTTTTTTCAATTACACGTTTAAAGAATATTTAATTCTGCGACAAATGCGATGTTTTCAAAATAATTCGTTAAAGATGGCCTGAGTTATTCCATTTTTTAGTTTTGCAGACATAATATTGAATTTATGCATTTTCTTCTTCTTTACTAATATTTGTTGCTGTTGCTTTGTTATTGATTTTTGACAACATTTTTTTTATTATAACAATGCAGTAAATTGTGTTTTTAATTTAAATATTAAGTATTAACGATAAATCCAAAGAGATAAAATTCAAATATTACACATTAACATTTTTTTAAAAATTATATTACATATTGTTTTTTTAAATTTACTGTTTTATTAACGGATTCCACAAGTTGTCTATTAGCTACATAATATTCAAACAAATGATTCTTTGTACAAAAAAAAAGTCGAAAAAATTAGCATTTTTAATTCAGATTGTAATTGTTAAAAATTATAAACGATTTCAGAATATACAGAAATATTTTAAGATATTATAATTAAATCTAATTACTTTGTTTACTCCCTTTTAAATTTTTTATTTTAGGCTAAAAATTCTGATATAACGGTTTTACGATTCCCGTTGGAAAATGGTTCATATTTAAATTATGAAAATAATTTAGTACATTGTTAAAATAAAAAAAATGTTGTCAAAACTCAATAACAACGCAACAGCAACAAATATTAGTAGAGAAAAAGAAAATACTGTCTTAAGCATAAATTCAATAATATGCCTGCAAAACTAAAAAATGGAATAACTCAGGCAATTTTTAACGAATTCTTTTAAAAAACATCGCATTCGACGCATAATTAAATATTCTTTAAACGTGAAATTGAAAAAAACTACTCCAAATAATATTTGGGGCATAAAATAAGAACTAAAGTTGAAAAATTATTTTAAAAATTGCAATTTTCGAACTTTTACTGAATTTTTTGAATTAATTTTTAAATATAACCAAAAAAACTAATTAGGTTTAGAAAGCCCTATTTTTCAGCTTTAAAATGAAAAAAAATGGTTGAAATTGGATCAAAAATGAAAAAGTTACAAGATATTTTATACGTAAAGTACAAAAAATTGGTATTTTGGCTCTAAAATGAAATTTTTGGGGTGTTCCAGCAATTTATTATATACCATTTTCTTCAGTTTTTCAAGACGAACAAGTTGTGGTAGGTCCGATTTAAAGTAATTTTTTACTGTTGCACAGTGTTATATTTGTGAATAGTAAAATTTTTTGCAAAAATTCATTTATTTTTAATAAAATTTCATGAAAGAATTAAATTTTTTAATTTTTAATAATATTTTTTCGAAAAAATTCAATTATTTTCTAAAATTTTTTAATAAAATTCAATAATTAAATGTTTACTTTCAATTATTAACAAACATGATTATTTTAAAAACTTGAAAGAACTTGTTCATAAAATTCAATTATTTTAAAAATTTTAAATTAAAATTGTTAAAAAAACTAAATTATTTTTAAAAAAATTCAAAGAAATTCTTCAAAAAGAATTTAATTAGAATTTTCAAAAATTTTAACAAAATTTTTCGCGAGAATTCAATTAATTTCTTAAATAATACAATTCTTCGAAGGAATTCTATTATTATCAAATTTTTTGAAAAAATTCTTTGCAATAATTCGATGATCTGACAATACATTAATTTTAAAATTGAAAATATTTAAAAAGAAAAATTATTTTAAAAGTATTTTTAAAAAACTAATTTTGAAAATTTCTCTATTATAATTTTCAAAAAATCAATTCTTTTGCATATTTACAATTGAAATTTTTTAGAAGTAATTAAATTTTAGAATGTTTGAAATTGACCATTTAACAAAATTATGTAATTATGGAATAATTTGATTTAGAAGGCAGTGAAAGGACAGGAAATACAAAATGGAATTTTTGTGACACCAGTGAATAAAATAAACGATTTTTTCGATTTCTTTCTTGTATCTTTAATCGACTAAAACGCCTTTTTTGGCGCCTTAAAAATCGATCCGAGGGCAGATATAATCGAATTTTTTAATTTTTTTAAAATGTTCTATAATTAATCTAACGCAGTAATTTTAATTTATCTTGAAGCGTTTTTAATACTTTGACGTAAAAACTTTTAACAAAAAAATATATTTAGGTTTCAGACCACAAATGGGTTTTCCATCTTCCTTTCAACAATCATCACGATTTTCAAATTCCATGACATGGAACACGAGGAGTCAGGCACCATCTTCACAAAATCTTCAATCAGAAGCTGAACCAACAATTACAAATTCAATTGCCTTAAGTCCACCTCCACCTCCACCGCCTCCATCCATTCCTCCGCCAAATCCCTCTCCACCAGGAATGTAAGATATATTTCTTTTTTATATTTTTTCTTCAATTTATAAAATTTATTTTTACATTTTCTCTATAAAAATATGCAAATAACCCTTGTATATACACGTTAATGTTTAGGTCTCTTGTTTCAATAAATATAGATTAGAAATTACTTTTGCATTATTGTTCAAAAAATGAATGACTTTTATATTCACACATTTTTGGTTCATCGAGCTTCTTTTTGGCAATTTCAATGTCGTTTTGTATTTCTTTTATTAAATTATCTGAAAAAAATACAAGAGAATTTTGAAAAGTCGAGTTAAATGATATTCAAAACTTATTATCAGTGAAATAATAATAAAATTATTAAGTATTAGAGTGAATGAAAATATAAAATGTTCTATGATTTATATCATAAAATATGTTAAATAGATGAATTATTAATATTAATTATTTTAATGATTATTATTAATTATTTATACTTAATTAATTATAGGAAAGAATAGAATATAAAATTATAGTAAAGCATAGAATATAATGTTTGTTGAGAAAAAGAGATATTTAATAATTAATTATACAGTAATTTACGTACAGAATATAAAAATATATTTTAAAAAATAAGATTTGAAAATGTAGCTAAATAAATAAATTTTTTTCTTACCAACAGACGTGAAATCTTTCTCTGGCCTTATATATCCGGTGATAATAATTTTAATCGTTTCACCATAAAAGTCACTGGGAAATTCATGAATCAAGTGAACTTCCTAAGAAAAAAAAAGAATTCTTTTTAATCCTCAAAAAACATTATTTAGCAAATTATTTTATTCATAGGAAATGTTACGTGAAATTCAATTTATTATTATTATGCAAATTATAAAATTTTTTATTTTAAAATAAATTTTTGAATAATTTCAAATTCAAACTTTAAAAAAATTCACTTATTAACTAATTTACTAATTAATTATTCTTGTTTATTAATTTCAAAAATTTTAATAAAATTCTTCTTAAAAATTCAATTATTTTCATAAATAATAACATTCTTCGTAAGAATTCAATTATTTTTATAAATAGTAAAATTTTTTGCAAAAAATCAATTATTTTCAACAAAATTTTAATAAAATTTTACGAAAGCGTTCAATTATTTTCTAAAATTTATAAAAATATTTCGAAACAATTCAATTATTTTTATAAATAGTAAAATTCTTTGCAAAAATTCAATTACTTTTAAATATAATTTTAAAAATATTTCATGAAAAAATAAAATTTTTAATAAAATTTTACGAAAGAATTCAATTATTTTTAAAAATTTAATAAATCTTTTACAATTCAATTATTTTTTTACAAAAATTCAATAATTTCCAATAAAATTTCACGAAATAATTCAATTTTTTTTTTAATTTGTTATAAAATTTTTCAAAAGAATTCAATTATTTTCTAAAATTTTAAAAATTCCTTCGAAACAATTCAATTTTAAAAAATTTTTCGAAAGTATTTAATTATTTTCTATATTTTAATAAAATTACTTAAATTAATTAAATTATTTTAGAAAATTGTAATAAAGTTCTGAGAAGAATTTAATTATTTTCTAAAAATTTTAATAAAATTCAATAATTTAATTGTTTAATTTCAATTATTAGGAAACACGATTATTTTAAAAGCTTGAAAGAAATTGTTCATAAAATTCAATTTATTACTGTCAGAATTTTCAATTAAAATTATTAAAGAAACTCCTTTAATTAAAAAAAATTCTCTTAGAAGAAATTCAATTATTCGCAAATTTTTTGATAAATTTCTTTACAAGAATTCAATTATTTTCATAAATAATAAAATTCTTCGAAGAAATTCAATTATTCTCAAATAATCTTACCATAGATTTTTTTTCATTTTTATAAAAAGGATTCCAACCAATACTCATAACCATTTTGTAAATTGATTTTTCCAATAATGCCCAACCATAGTAAATTCCAGTACCAAATTCTTTGGGTAATGCATCGACAACATCTTCAGGAAGATTTGCTAAGTTAGAAAAAAAAGTTATAAAAAATTATCAAGTAAAAAATAAAAGAAAAATGATTTTTTTTCGGTAAAATAAATCATTTTTACTATAGGATAATAGAAAATTTCTCCAGAGAAAAAACTACTGAAGTGGTAAAAAAACATTAAGACCTTGAAAATTTGAAATTGAAGAAATATTAATTGAGGTGAAGTAATTAAAAAAAATTATTACGAATTTTTATTATTTATGTTAAATTACCTGTTGGAATTCCTAGAGATTTTGATCCTCTTCCAAAACCTTGAACAACTTTTCCAGTTGTACAATAAGGTAAAAATTTACTAAACATCGTTCTTTATTTTAGCTTTTAACGTTTTTCAGACAAGAATGCATTAAATACTGATATAATTCCAATACTTCAGAGCAATAATGATAAGGAAAAATCATTTAAAACTGTTCATTATTGTATAATAAAGATAATCTATTTCTTTAATCTTTGGTATGTATACAGCATCACGTCATTTAATTATTATTGTATTCTAGGGACTTTATGAATTAAAGGCGAAGGAAAAAAAACTATATTTCAAAACATGTGATCATTGTGATCTCTAAGGTTGGAGTAGGTTAACTAACCTTCCTTACACTTATTCATTTTATTTTATGAACAGTGAACAGAAATAAACATACTTAACCGCATAATTCCTTAATTTTATATATTTATTTATTTACAAAATAAATTCAGAATGAAAAAAAACTTGATTTTATAAAAAAAATTTATTTTACTTTAAAAAAAACAGCGCGTAATTGTAGACCAATCAGAAAAGATTTGCAGCGCGTGCGCAGTTAAAACATCCCACCCGTCAAAATTGTTAAAATAGTTATATACACACATTGGTGTGAATAATGATTTGGAGTTTAGTTGTTTTAAACTATTTTTGATTATTGTTGATTATAGAAGTGAGAGGCGCCAAAAGAAACGTTTCGCGGATGTTTATTCATGATACGTCATTGACCTTGCGAAATAATTGCAGGGTTATCTGGTTATCACAAGTGGCAATATATCATGCACTAAATGGTATACATTTTGACAGTGCTTTCTTTTCGAAAATTTTATTAATATAATTTCACGAAACTTAATTATCAAATAAGTAAAATTTCGTTAATTTAACCTTTCAACTCATTTACTCCATTTCTACTGTATTTTATTGATTTATTAAGTTTTAAACGTTTTAAACGTCAAGGGAAATTCTAACCTATAATTTAGTGCGCGAAATATTTTTTGTTTTTTTTTTAAACGAGTGCATATATATTTTTATAATTTTATCATTCATATTCGGATTTATTTTAAATTAACAATTTTTTTTATAATTTGTTATTTGTAATTTTTTGAATATTTGCAAAATTTAATAATTATTGTTAGGTATTTGGTGTTTTTTTTTTAAAAAAGAATTTGTTTTCTCAATTTTGTGTTTCTTTTACTTATTTATCATAAGATTTACGAATAGAATTTGTGGTTTCTTTTTAATATTTGTTTGTGGAGGAGAAAAAAAATTTAATTCCTAATAGTTGTTGATTTTGTATTAGATGGAATTTAATTACTCGATCGAAGAAAGATGAATTGTTTTTATTGCGACGAGTGACTTAATGGCTGAAATGCGTTACACATCTATGTCCCGTGATCTTTCAAATGATTCTGTTTCCACTGTACGAATTGCAGAAGTGAGTATATTTTTTAAAAAATTTCCATATTTATTTTTACTTTTTAAACAAATAGAAAAAAAAACTTTTTAGAATAATTGAGAAACTTGTTATTGACAGTTCAAAGAAACCTTAATTAACGTTAATCATCTTTCATAATGAAGTTAATTTTCGAACAGTTGTATCTCTTTATTTTTATTTTGATACCCCAGTTTATGTCACATGTGTTGTAATTATTAAAAACAATGCAATCGTTCTATTATAGCATTTTATATACAATTAATTTTCATCAGCGTAAATGTGATTTCTTGTCTGTTTACAAAAGTATCGAATTGTGATTTAATCAGTAAAAAAAATTGAATTTAATGATTATAATTATATATGGAATTTTTATTTTATAAATAATTTATTTTTTTTTTATTTTAAATCATAAATTTATTTTAAACATTGAAATTAATAACTTATTAAAATAAATGATTAAAATTTATTTGTTATACAGTATGGAAATTTGGATAAATACTTCGCTAATGAGACAAATTCTTTAAATGGTCCATTATTGCCGAATAATGTCAATAATATCGATAGAGTTTTTAAGGAGCGTAAAGATCATCGAGACAAATTTAAGGCTTACAGAAAATACTCAGAGTTAACGCCTCTTACTGCTCAAAATGGCTACGATAATTTTGGGTATTAAATTTATATTTTTTATGTGACGAAAGTATTAAATCTTTTGTTTTTACATATAAATTTTCTTCTATTTTAGAAATTCGGTGAGTTGCAAGTCAAATTCGTTACCAGGAAGATGTAACAGTAATTCAGCCTCGATTAAAAATTTAGTCGCCCTAAATGTTCAACCAGAAGACTTGGCCTCTCAATTAACTCTATTAGATCTAAGTATTTTTAAATCCATTAGGCCAGAAGAATTGTCGAGTTGCTCTTGGAATAAAAAGAATAAATTAATTGTCGCTCCAAATGTCGTCTCATTTACAAGAAGATTTAATCATGTTAGTATGTCACAATATTTCAATTATTTTTCTTTCTCATCGAATAATAATAATAATAATAATAATAATAATAAATTATTATAATTATTATTATTAATAATGATGATAATAATATTTTCAAGAAATTATTTTCAATTAATAATTAATAATTTTTATAACTAATACATTAACTTTCATAATTAAGAATTTGTAAAGTTTTATCACTCGGTACTTAAATATTAAATGGAATTTATCAATTTTTTCGAGTCGAATTAAAATAATAAAAATACAATTGTTATATCATTTCGACTGCACAGCCGCCGAAATAATTTTCATAATTAAATATAAAATGAATTTAATTGATTGAAAGAACTTCCTTTTATTATAATTATATTTTCATAAAAAAATACAAATAAAAAATAAAATACAAATACTTTAATTATTTCTGAAAAATTGATATTTTAGGTGAGCTTTTGGACTGTTCAAGAAATATTAAATGCACCAACGGCAAAGCAAAGAGCTGAGATATTAGCTCACTTTATTCGAGTTGCGAAACGGCTTTATGAGTTAAATAATCTGCATTCCTTATTTGCGATAACATCTGCTTTACAAAGTGCTTCAATATACAGGTATTTATATCAACTCGAAGAAATTTTTCTTATCTCTTATATATTTGGAAATTGATTTCTTCTTTTTTACCAAACTAAATTTCTTATTCTTTTTTTCTTGTTTGATGTAGATTAAACAAAACCTGGGCGTGCATTTCAAAGAAAGATAAAGCGACCTTTGAAAAATTGGCCGAAGTATTTAGTGACAAAAATAATTGGATGAATTTACGAGTTCATATGGATTCAATAAAATTGCCATGTATTCCATATTTGGGTTTATTTCTCACTGATCTTGTTTATATCGACATGGCTCATCCAACTTTGAGGGTATTTATATTTGCTCAATTATAAAGATTACTTAAAACTTGGCTTTTTGTTAAACTATATTAACTACATTTTTCACTATATTTACTAATTTAAAAAATTTTAATTACTAAAACCTTTTAATTTGAGTTTAATTTTGTTTAGAGAAAGGAATTTGAATATTTATTTTGTATTAAAGTATGTGTTAAATTTCTAATTACTAAAAATTAGGGAGAACAGTTTTTCAATTATATTTTTGCTTAGTAGAAGAAAAGCTTAGACGCTTTAATTCAAAGAAATATTTCAAATATTTCCAAGAAATAAATTTGTGTATCAAATTTATTTTTGTTGAAAAACTAAACTTAAAACAAAAGTGAACTGTTTTGATCTTTTATTTCAAGGGGGATCTAATAATTGTACTTTTTTCGCAGAGTGGAGATAATTGTCAAAGAATATTAAAGTTCGATGCAGTTTTAACTCGAGTCGCTATATTTCAAGCTAGTGAATATCCAGGGATAATTCCCCTTCCCGACGTTCAACAGTATGTGAATAGTGTCCGTTATATTGAGGAACTACAGAAATTCTTAGAAGACGATCATTTTAAGTAAGTTATTAATTTTCTTTTATTTAATAAATATTTCATAAGTAATCACTGATACGGTTCTGGAATAATAGAATTGTCAGGCAAAATCTGAAGAATTTGGAAAAGTCAGGGAATTTTATAAAATGGTTTTAAAAATTTATTTTTTGAACTTGAATTGTCCAAATTTTAAAATTTCAATGTTAACATTCTTGTTACTCCCTTCTAATGACACAATTTGGTTTAAAATTAAGCGCAGAGATTTTTTTGTTCTCCTTTTTATCTAATCGCCTTTATTTCTTCTTTCCTTTTTTATTTCCTTAATTTTAACAAAATTTCCTCCTATTTCCTTCTTTAAAGAAAAACTTTCCAAAATTGTTACTTTTTGGATAAGTTAGTAATTTTTTTAGTTAAATTGAAGAGAAAAGTTCTTTTTGCAAACTTTAGAAAAATTTCAGTTTATCAAGACAAAATTTAAAAATCTTTTTATATTATTTTTTAAGAGTTTTTAAACTTAAAAATTTTGTATACAAAGTACAAAATATAAAATAACGATTTAGCAATTTTTGTAAAAATTAACAAGATTTAATTCTTTTTGGATTTTTGTTAGTTTGCCTTATAAACTTTGAAATCATGACGAATTTTGATATAAAACATTAAATTATTTTTATTTCTAATAATAATTAAACTTTACAGAATACGCAATTGAATTTGTTACAAATAATTTAAATTCAAAAGGTTTCAATTAGAAATAATAGAAAATTTTTTTAAAAATAATTTAAATTAAAATTAAAGTAAATAATTCTGAATACGTAAGTTTTTGGGAAATTCTCGAAATTTTGTATTATTGAATTGTAAACATGTGGATTTTAGAATTATATTTACTCTCTTTAAATAATTGTAAAATTTAAGTGTAAACAAATGGATTTCAGAATTATTTTAGGTGAGCTTTCATTTTTTATTTTTTTTTTAATAATAAAAATTCTCAAAAATGATTAAAAATAATTGATTTAGTTAAGAATTTTAGATAAAAATTCCAAAAGTAATTGAATTTTATGAGTTACTTTCACCACTTTTATAAATACTCTAATTTTAAAAGGTTTCAAACTGAAATTTTAGAAAATTTGAATTTTCAATTATTCTAATTTAAACCTCCGAAGAAGTTAGTTTTCAAAAAAAATTTTATTTGAATTGTATTGAAATTGCTTGAAAAACAAATATATTTCAGAATTAGTTTAGTGCACCTTTCTTTTTTTGTTTGAATAATTAAACTATCAAAGAATTTTTTCAGAAATTATTAAAATTATTTGATTCAGAAAAGAATTTTAGTTAAAATTTCAGAAAATAATTAAATTGAAATATTGAAAATAATTTTGAAAAAGTTACAGTAGAGTGAATCAAAATATTCTTTTAGGGCAAGAAAAAAGTTGAAATTCTGACAGGAAATCAGGGAAAAACAATTAAATTTTGATGGCAACCCTGTCATTAAAATTTTCTTTAAATGCTGTAATATTTAATATTAAAAATTTATATTTTCCAGAGTAAATTTTACTTCTTTTAAAGTAATTTTTCTAATTTTGATAAAAAATTTTTCTTCGGAGACAGTATGCAAAATTTATTTTAGAAATAATAAATTTTATTATTTTGAAAGAAATTTTACTAATTTTTACTGAAATTTACTTCGCATATAATAAAATTCATGGAATTTGTTAACAAAAGTAGAATTGTAACAAAAATTTTATTTCAAAATTTAGAAAAATTGCAAACTTTAAAAAAAGATATTAATAATTAACAAAAAAAATTTAACCAAAATGTCTGGAAAACCTGTAAAAGTCATGAAATCTTGAAACAATAGCAAAAATAGTTTTCTTTTCTTTTAAATTAATTTTTGAATTAATCTTTTTTAGTTAAATATTTTTAACAAAACTTCTAAATTGAAACTTTTAAAATTCTTTAATAGTTAAAATAAAGAATACTCTTTTGTTATCATTTGCAAGAATTGAGAAAAATGTTGTATTCTTTTATTTACTATTTTCAGATTATCAATGAAGCTCGAACCAAATTCTCCAGTTCCATCATCAAGTAGCAGTAAGGAATCCGTGGGAGATGTAACAGGAGTCGCAGCTCTTTCTTTATCACCAGCAAGAGGATGCGCTGGATCACTTCGATTGCATGCCGCTTCTGCCGCGACAAAATTTGTACCTGGTCATCGAAAATGTAGAAGTCTCGGCACAAAGTAAGCATAATAATTTCACATTTTTCTTTTCTCACCATAACAAATTTTTTCTCATATTTTTTGTAACAGTTATCTTTTTTATTTAGGCGAAAAGTTATTTTTTTTAAACATATTTTGATAAATCTTTAATGTTTCTTAAAATAAAATAGAAGATTTTACAATCATTAAATAATTCTTCGATGTATTTAAATTTAAAATTTTTTTAATTTAATTTTTATCTATATTTTAACTTAAATTTTTCTAAAACTAAAACATGTAAAAATGATTATTCTTCATTATTTTTACAAAATTAAAATTTTAAATTTTAATTTTCTATTTTTTATATTTAAATTTGAATTCTAAAATTGAAAAATTATTAATCGCAAAACTTATTATCGTGTAAAATGAAGAATTTCTTTTCCTCGAAACAAAATTTTTAATAAATGAAAAAGTTTTTCATGATCATGAACTTGTTAGATTTCGTAGTACGAGTCTACCTCGCAACTTCCATAAACAAGGAGGGAAATATGGATCAAACATGACATCTTCTGGGTGAGTCCCAGATTGGAGAATAGGACTCTCCTATGTGAAATTAAAAAAACATATAGATGCTTGAAGAATAGCATCATGTGAACGTAGAATCGTTTGCATGTGATTAATTTAATTTTTTCTTTACAGTCGAAAGTTCATTTATAGAAAATATATTGGGAGCAGTGAAAATAATTTTACTGTCGCATGATCAGAAGCAGAAATAATTGTATTTTTTTTTAATTCGTTGAATTTCGTTTCGTTATAGTAGTCATCATTTTTTCAGTACTAAATCATTAAAGGTATCAACTGATTTAATTTATTTTATTTTCATGTCTCAATCATTTCATTAGATGACAAAAATAGTTATCGATGTATATCGTAGATTTTTTAAATATTGTATTTTTAAAGCATTGCATGTTTTTAATAATTTTTAGAAAACAAAATTTTATTTCATTTTTGTTTAAATGAATTTTTATTAACTTCATTTTGTATACGAATGTTTTAGCGCTTTTTTCAAACACTGAAACGAAACTAAAAAAAATGCTTTATTCCATTATTAAAACGACTTAAAGCTGAAGAGAAAACATAATTCTAACAAAATTATTCATAGAAATTAATTCTTTTATTATTACTTAATACCTACTTATTTTTACTTTATTACATATTTAATTTTTTATTCGAGTAAATGTCTCTGGTGATATTAGTTGTTAGTATTTCCCCTTCTCAATCCTTGAAACGAAAGAAAAATTCTATCCAGAAGCATTGAAGCATGGATGAAAAAAAATTGACAATTTTCTTTTACAAATTTTTGATAATTTTCTATTTTGATGATTACAGTATTTTTGGAAAGCCAACTGCTCTGCCCTTGGATCCAAGTCAGTTGACTGTTCGACATCTACTCGATGATTCGGTCTTGGAGGAACCACATTTATTAACGCAAATTCTTGATTTGGATCAAAATTCACCTGGATCACCCACAGACGCTGTTAATGAAGATTGCAGCTTGCTCTCGAGAACTAGGTATTAATTATTTCTTTCGTTTCATTAAATTAAATTTACTTAAAAGTTGCTATTATTAGGAATACCCTTTGTTCCCAATATCTTTTCGAAGGATTTTTAAAATTCAAAAATTAATTTTTAACTATTAAATTAAGTTTGTTAATTTCTGAACTTCAATTATTAATTCTTAAAAAGTACTTTTTCATATATAAATTTTAGTTATTAAATTTCCATTTAGAACTTTAAAATTACAGAAATTAAATTTCGAATGTTAAATTCACTTTATCTACATATTAATTTTTTAATTCAATATTTGTAATTTATGAACTCCATTTATTAATTTTTAAAGGGTATTATTAATATTCAATTGCAATTTTTAATTATTCAATTTCATTTTTGAATCTTTAAATTTCAAAAATTAATTTTCAACCTTTAATTCTGTTTATTGATTTTTTAATTAAATTTTATAATTTTTGAATTGATTTTTTTGAATTTTAGAATCTTGTTTTTAATTTTTAAATTCAATTTTTAGTTTTTGAATGCAATTCTTAATTACAAATTAAATTTTCGAAATTTTAAATGTCAAATTTAATTTTCAACTTTTAAACTGACTTTGATAATTTTTGAAATTAAATTTGTAATTATTAATCTCAATGTATGAATTTTTGAATCGTGTTTTTAATTTTTTTAATTAATTTTTATCTTTTAAATATACTTTGATAATTTTTGTTCAGGATTTACAAATTTTCGAATAGTGTTTTTAATTTTTTAATTCAATTTTTAGTTTTAAAATTTTATTTTTGAATTTATAAATTTAAAAATCAATTACGTACATTAAATTCAGTTGAAGTTAATATTTTAATTAAATTTTGTGTTTTCTGAACTTTATTTTTTGCAATCATTATAAACCATTAATTTTTAAAAGATTTTTAAAATTTTTTAATTTAATTTTTAATCATTAAATTTTATTTTCAATAAATTTTAAAACTTTATTTTTACTTCGATATTCAGTCTTTTAATTTTTACTTCATTTTTGTAATTGTTAAATTTAATGTGTGAATTTTTGAAACGTATTTTCAATTCTTTAATTCAATTTGAAATTATTAAATTTCACTTAAAAATTTTTTAAAGTAAATTTCTAGGTTAATTGAAAATATCTGTTTATTTTTTAATTTACACTACCGTCTGTGAGTATCAGGACGCCCCCTTTTTCATGAGTGGAAAAATGCTTAAAACGTAGAAAATAAGAATGACAAAAAATTTTTGTATTTTTTTCCTGAAAGCTAATGAAATTATGAAAAGACTGACATCTGATCGAAGAATTTTCGTTGACTATTCTGTCGGATACAGAAAAAATACTGGATTTTGCATGCTTTTCGTAATTTTTTAATTTTTTCGAAAACTAATTAACTTTTTTTAGCGTTCTTGGTCTTGTTTCAATCTCTATTCAATGTATAATCTAAATTAATTAATGGTATTGTGATATAAATTTTTCCAAAAAAATTTGAAACTGTGAAAGTCGGATAAAAAAATTTTGAAAACCAAATTGACACTTTTTCAAAAAAAAAATTTTTTTAATTAAATAATTAAGTAATTAAAAAGCTTTTTTGAATTTTAGTATACCTATCTATTAAATGAACATATTTTACATTGACCTTTTTGACACTTTAATATTCATGATAATTTTTTGAATTTTTTTAATCCTACTTTTACGGTTTCAAATTTTTTTGGAAAAATTTATTTCACAATACCAGTGAATAATTTAGATTCTACATTAAATAGAGATTAAAACAAGACCAAGAGCGCTAATAAAAGTTAATTAGTTTTCGATAAATTAAAAAATTACGAAAAGCATGTAAAATCCAGTATTTTTTCTGTATCTGACAGAATAGTCAACTAAAATTCATCGATCAGGTGTCAGTCTTTTCATAATTTCATTAGCTTTCAGGAGAAAAATACGAAAAATTTTTGTCATTCTTATTTTCTACGTTTTAAGCATTTTTTCACTCATGAAAAAAGGGGCGTCCTGATAATCACGGACGGTAGTGTAAGAAAACTGAATCAATTTTAATTTAATTTATAAAAGACATAACTGCTATTTGTTCATTACTGATTTAAAATTAAGTAGAAACAATTTAATTTCTGTTTTCAGCACCCTTACAGTATTACCGTGTGAATTAGATGGATTCGTGGAACCTTGTTGTTCAATGCAAGGCCTGTTGAGGAGAAAAGTCATTTTACGGGACGGCAGAAAGCCAGCAGTTTCCACGTGGCAAAGATATTGGGTTCAATTGTGGGCATCGACAATTGTTTATTTCTCCTCAAAATGTTTCAAAGGGTACTTTATATAAAGAAATTTTATTTTAACCCTTTGAGGACGAAATTTTTTTTGAAAAATCGCATTTTTTGATTTTTAAACAATCTTTTCACAGATAAAGTTATTTAAGTTTTTTATTTGAAGACCAGAATCTGAAATAGAAAATTTACTATACTTTATGAAATATATTCTTTCAATATTCAGTTTTATTCACGTTGCTTGAAAGTAACATAGGTCCTCAAAGGGTAAAAAAAATTTACATACATAATGATTTTAAATATTCAAAATTTCTTATTTTTTATACCAATCTAATTAAAAATTCTTTTCTTATTTATTAGAAACGACAGATCTGATTTCAAGAGAGAACCCTATAAAATGGTTTCAATTTTTGGATGGATTGTGGAACCGTCAAATAACAGTGTTCATCCAGATACATTTTTATTGACAGATCCATTGAAAGGTAATTCGTTTTATAGATTATTTAATATTCAGAGTAGCCACAGATCAGGGAAATCGGGAAAAATGTCTGTGAATTTAGCCAAAAGTACTGGAAAAATATCAAATTTTTGGAATTACTACAAAATATCTGATTTTTAGTGTTTAAAAACATTTTTGAAATTAACTTAAAAATCTTTATTAAATTCTAGAAAAACTTTCTTATAGTTAATAATTATAATCAGCATAGAATTAAGATTTTAGTTTAAAAAACTGTTGCAATTTTCAAATATAATAGAATTTCAGAAGGTTTTAAACTAAAATTTTTGAAAATTTCAATTTTTTTTAGGAAACTTGGATTTTTTAAAAAATTTTATTAAAGAACTTGATTATAAATTTAAAAAGGAATCGAATTTTCAAAGAATTGAATTAAAATTTAATTTCTAATTCAATTTAATAATAGGTGCAAACATTTAAGTTTTACAAAGTGTCACAATAGAATGTATTTTTTTGTTAGTGTAAAATTTTTATGAATTATTTAACTTTAAAAAGATTTAAGTTTAAAATTTATTCAAAAAATTAGTTTTGAAAAATTTCATTAAAAATTTTGAATTATTAGGTTTTTAAAATATTTCAGTTCTATTTTTTAAAAAGATAATTGAATTTTTATAATCAAGAAATTGAAAATTTTTGAAATAATTGAAGTTTTAAAAAATTTTATTCACATTTTTGAAGGAAATTCACTAATCGAAGGAAATTAGTCACCGTAACGGAATTTATTTTTAAATTAGAAAATGTCTTTAAATTTTTTAATCAAATTTTTCCTTCTAAAAATTATCTTGCATTATAATTGAACTTTCCTTGGATTTTTTAATAGTCATCAGGGAAAAAGTGAAAATTTTGTCTGGAAATCCGAAAAAAACAAAATCAAGTTCTTGTGGCTATTCTGATATTATTTATTGAATATTAATTTATTATCTTTCTTATTTTCTTATTAATCAATAGTTTTTATTAATTATTAATAATATTTATTTATTAATAATTAATTTATTCGTGTAACATAAAATAATGTATGTTTAAATTTAATTTTTATTATTTATTTTATATTTTCATTTTAATGAATTAAAATTAAGAAATGTTATATATTATTTAATTTTAAATTAAAATTTTTTTGAATTTTCAGGCAACGTTTATAAATTTCGGGCCTCGTCGAGGGAACTCGCCGATCAGTGGCTGAAGGAATTGCGGGCAACTGTTCGCGGTGCAACAGAAAAAAAGCCAATACCAGTGAATCTCATGTCGTTCGAGTAAGTTTTTAACAAAAAAGGAAAAAAAAATAAAAAAAAATTTATTTAAGGAATTATATATCCATAAAAATTTGCAAGTGAATTACTCAATAATAATTCATGTCACTGTTATAACTTCTGTCTTCCACGTATCAACTTCAAAATCCAAATTCTCGACGCATTCGACGATGCGTCTTAAACGAAGAATGATGCATATCAAAGATATATACTTGCAAAGTTACCCTTTTTTTCTCATTTTTTTCTTTTCATTTTTCACTCTTCATCCTACGAATCTTAAGGCAATAATCTTCATCTAGAAATTTTTAAATGGCTCTCTAGAATTTTCATATTTGAAAATTTTTCTACTACTTAGAAAACACATTTTACAAGTATAATTATATCTGATTATATATAAAAAAAATAATACACATTTAAGTCAACTACTTTTTTTATCTCAGTCAGATTTCACTTTATTTTCTCGGAATCAATTCTCAATATTTAGAAAATAAATGTAATTTATTTTGTAATTTATTTATATATTATAATAACGTTTAATTAGAGTATTTTTAAGTTCCAGTAATTGAATGTTTAGTTTTCTTTTAAAATTAGATCGATATTTTTTTTTCTTCGAAAATCGTATTTTTTTAAACTTTGAATTAGTTATGAATTATTTTTTCAAATGGACAATTTTAATAAAAACTGCTTATACTATAAAATTGCGATAGATATTCAGAGTGAAAATATAAAATTAAATATTTGTATAAAGAAGTAATAAGCCTAGCTATTAACGCTTAATTTTTTTTTCGTTAATTAGAGTAATTTTTTTAAAATTAGAGTATAGAATGTTTTTTTTTAGATAACGCTGACAATTTTTAATAATATTATAGAAATATTAAGTTTGTACGTAATTTTCAAAATGGTGCCACGAACTAACTCTTGCCTAAAGAATTCGTAATATAATAATAAAAAAATATATATAAATATTTAATGAATGCAAGGTTCTATAAAATTGAATGTTAAATAATTTATTCTCAATTAAATTTGTTTCCGTAAAAATTAATTAATTTATGAATTAATTAATTTTTGGACAAATATTGATATTTTTGTATTTGTATGAATCTTTTTTTTTTAATTTTCCATGTTTTTTTCTGTTTGTTAATGATTGTATTTTTATTACTTGAAAGATTACGTTTTTTGAAAATGTGTTTAAAAAAAAAGATGAAAATACTCACAAGCTGATATTTGGCTTTTGGAATTTTAGGAAATTATATTACGATCTCAAAGATCTTTAACATGAAAATCGATATTTTTTAATTTAAAGTTTATTTTTTTAAATTTTGTAGAATAGAATTGATAAAAGTATATTAATTGTGAGTATTTTGTAAATTGCAAAATTTGTTCTGTTTCATTTTTTAATTGAAAAATTGACTGATTTGTGAGAAATTAAATTGTTTAGTAATTTAATTATTAATTGAAAGTTAAGTTTTCTCTTTAAATAATGTGCGGCAAGAGTGGAAATCGAAAAAAATGATCGCTTTTTATAATCGAAATAATTTTCTATTTGGTATGATTATTTAATTGATGAATTAAATACAATTATATGGTAAATTAAATTTGATAAAAAATATAAACGAATAAATTTTAATTTTGTAATTTAAGAGAAAGTTTTATTTCGAATAAGTGGACAAATTTTGATTTGTCGAGTCAGTAATTTTTCTCTTGTAAAAGACGATAATTTTTTTCGACTAAAACTTTTCATGTGTCTTTAAGTTTTATTGTTTTTTAAAAAATTCTCTAAACATTGCGAAGTTTTTGAAATTCGGGAGAATGTATTAAAAGTCTTGAAAAAAACCAATCATATCAGCTTCATGCGAATAAGACTAAACATTCGTTAGAATGTGATATACTCTTAATATATTATACATATTATATATATTTGTATAATGGGTGCACGTTTGAATTTATATTCACTGTAATATTATCTACACTCATTTGTTTTTTCTTTTGCATTTAATAATAATAATATAATTAAAAAGGCAGGGTTTAAATTGCGGGGAAAAAATTTTACGCCTATAAAGACTAAAATTGCTCGTAAAAAATAGTTAACTAATTTTAGTAATAATAGTCACAAAACATTAAGCGATCATGATCTAAATTGTGGAATATATTTATACAATATTCAGGCCTCGGATAGTATGACTTTTTAGAATTTTTCCGATTATTTAAAAAAAACGATTTTTTCCACTTATTTGCACAAAAAATGCAAATTTTTCGACCTTTCTTTAAAATATTGCAACAAAATACCACTTTTTTGTCACTAAATGCAACTTATTTCGATTTTTATAATGTGAAAAATAACTAAAGTAAAATCTTTCAAAAATTATTTTTGAATAATTTTTTTATAATTATTTTTTTTTAATAATATAATTATAAAGTTTTTAAATAATTACATATTGTGAAATTTTACCCCAATGAAAAAGATTTTGTTTAGTATTTCATTAAGATTTTTGAAAATAAAACGAAACATTTTCATTGCAAATTGTGAAAATAATTGAATTCTCGAAAATTTTAATGAAAAATCTTTAAACGAAAATTTAAAAATTAAAATTATTGAAAATTATATTTAAATACATACTTTTAAAATTTAAAGTAACTCTTGGAATTTTTTTTCTATAATCTTTTAATATTCAATTATTTTCAATATTTTTAAATTATTTTTTTTTAATTTAAATAGGTATCTCCAAAAAATAATTACTTTAATATTATTTATGAAAATCTAATTTTTTAGAATTATTATTAAAATTTAGAAGAAGATTATAAAATTAATTATAATAAATTTATTTATTCATTATAATAATTTCTCTTGCAGTCTAATTAAAAAATTAGTTTTTAAATCGTCCAAAAATTCTTTTTTGAAATTAAATTATTTTCGAAAAATTACATTACAATATTTTAAAAAAACTAATTCTTAGAATTTGTTTATCATAATTTTTTAAAACCCAGTTATCTTCAAAGGAAGTAAATGAAAATTTTTAAAATCTAGTTTTTTTAGACTTGCTATACAAATTTTTTAGACATTCTGTATTTTCCTATTTGTAACTAAAATTCTTCAAGAACTTGAATACTTTTTAATATTTTCCAAAAATTCTTTTATAAAATTCAACCATTTGAAAATTTTTCAATTTTTATCATTGAAAAATCTGTCAACATTCAGAAATTATTTTAAAATATTTGGAAAAAACTAATTTTATGCATTTTTTAACACTATTGTTAAAAAATGAGTTATTTTCAATTTTTCGTTTATTTATTTTCAATAATTCTCCTAAATGAATGTAAAAAAAAATTGTAGAGTTACAGTTACAATTGTTAAAAAACATCGGATTTTTGCATTTAAATTTAAATACATAATTGAATTCTCGAAAAACTTTCGGAAAATTATTCAAATTAATTTAGAAGAAAAGTTTAGTTAAAAATACTAGAAAATAATTATTTCGAAACGTTACAGTTTTAATTTAATTCACGTGGATAAAAAAATGTATTTACTTATTTATAAAATAAAATAATTTGATTTGAATAATTGAATTTAGAAATAAGTGAAAGGTCAGGAAAATACAAAATGCAATTTTTCTGACAACACTTAATGAAAATAAAAAACTTTTTCGACTTTTCTTATATCCTTAATCGTCTAAAACGACTTTTTTTGCACCTTAAAGTCGATCCGAGGCCTGAATATTTCGAACAAAATTTATTACGATTTTTCTGAGCTCAAAAAATATATTTTGCGTTTAATTATTGTATTAACTCGATTAAGGAAGCTCTATCTGTGAAAAATTCTATTTTAAAAGCAATATGATTTTTTCATTTAGTTGAATAATATAATTAATTGCTAATTAACTCCCTAATCTATTTAATCTGATTACTGTTAACTATCAATTTTGCTTTTTTTCTTTAAATTTTCCAAGTTGGTCGTCTTTTATTGATAAATAAATAAACACAGTTGAGCTACTTTAAGAAAGTTTTATCTAAAATTTTACGTCAATTATCTGTGAAAAAGAAAGATATCTTGATTAAGAATTATAAAATTAAGTGGAAATAGAAACGTCATTAATATTATGAATTCTATATTATAATGGTTATTATAATTAATAATTTGATTACGATCAATTAATTAATTTAATTAATCAGTTTTAATAATTGTAATGTATATATATTTATATATTGTAATTGCATTGTATTTTGTTTAAATACTGCAAAAAAAATGTATAAGAGATAAAGCAAAAAAATTTGGAATTTCTCATTGACCAAAAAAAGACTGAGCACATTTAGACACACAAAGTGAATTCAAGAGAAAATACATAAAAATCATTCCATCTCTTCTTTTTTTTATCGTATATACAGTTTTATTAGGGGAAAAAATATATGTTAGAAAATTGCAATGATTATTTTGATTAAAAGTACTTTGTGAGTTTAAATAAGTCTGCTGACTGATAAGAACAAAAAAAAAATAATAATTAACGCTTATATTTATTTTTTTTATAAGCGCAAAAAGAAAGAAAACAGTTGGCAGAACTTGATTAAAGCTTTGTCTCATATTGTAAATAGTTGTTAATTTATGCGACTGATTTTACAGAAAATGATACCAAAAATAAACATACCTAATTCTGACGGTTGCGTCCAGCTTTTTAATCACATAAAAAATAGTGTTACTTATATAGAAAGGGCGTACTTTGTATATGTTGAAAAAAACGAAAAAAAAATGGTTGTGGCACTCCGTTTGATGCAGTAAATGTTCACTAATTGTAAGTCTTTTATAACTTCAAGAATGATTTTATTAATTCCAATTATTACGAGATAAATATTTAAATTATTACGAAAGAAAATTCGTCGATTTTTCGATTAAAAGACAAAAAAATTTTTTTGTATAATTATATACATAAAAAAAATTATTTTTCGCTGTAAAATTCTCAAACTTTGAAAAATTCTCAAACATTGACTTTGATTAGTAATTATCATGTTAGTTATTAATTATTATTTGTTTATTAGTAATCATTATTTGTTGATTATTAATTATCGTTGATCACTTATTATTGTTTATTAATTATTAATAACAATTATTTGTTAATTATTAATTATTACATCTTGAATTTTAATAATTTATATGAATATAAATTAATTATTAATAATTAATATGTAAAGTATAAAAAAGAAAAACACTGGAAGAATTAATAAGAGAGAAAAATTGCAAAACGATCTATCTGTAGATATTATTTATTGATTAATAATAATTAATAGTTACTAAATAAAACATAAAAAGGAAAAACATTGGAAAAATTAACAGAAATTGAATTTGACAAAATCCATTATTATTTATTCGCTAATAATAATAATTAATAATTAATATACAACATATAAAAAAGTAAAATACTGGAAAAATTAAAAAGAAAGAAAAATTGCCAAAAGAGAAAAAATAGAAAATTGAAAATTTTACAGACTTGAAGATATAAAAGGTTTGCGCTTAAAAAAAATTATAGAGTAAATGTAGTCTTTAATTGTGTACAAGCTGTCTCAGTATGGTAAAAAAATTGTTTTCATCTAAAAATGAAATTAAAGAAAAAAAGAAAAAAAAATCATCCAATGCCATACAATGTAAAAGCAAATCATTTCATACTGTTATAATAAAGAAGTAATAAAATTGAAAACAAATGGCACTTTTCTAGTTTAATGTATTATTATTATAAATTATTTGTTTAATGTAAATAAAAGATAAGTTATCACTTTTTTATTTATGATTTTGAATTATAACTTTATTTTCTAACGTAATCACAGCTTTATTTTGACGTATATAGTTAAAAAAATATACTTTTTCATTTTTTCACAATTTTTTATAAATTTTTATTATCTAATTATAAAATAATATTATTATAAGTACTAAAATTAATAGCATAATATTATTAAATATAGTCACTTAGAAAACAATTATTCTAAAAAATACTTTTTAATACTAATTTGTCAAAAGGGACAACACATATTTCCGATATCATCAATGCTTATGCATCTTTTTCGGTTGAAGCAAATTCTTCGAGAGTCAATGAGGGTTTTAACATTCTGTTGGGAAAGTGAATAATCCTTTTTTGCATAAGCGTAGAAATTATTTTCGAAATTTTCAGGTGTCTGCAGTTCCTAAAAAGGAAAATTTGTTTCATTAGAATTATAAAAAACAAACGTATTTATATTTTTAATAAATGAAAAAATTATTCATTCATTTGAATATTTAAAACTTTAGGAAAATTATTTTATTATTTTTAATTGACTTGAATTATAAATAATAAAATAATAATAATCTTCTATCTACTCTATTTAAAAAATCATTGTATTTTGTTAATCTGTTCACAATTTGAAGTTTGGTTTTTTGTTTCTCAACATTTTTATTTTTTTATAATAATTTTTTTTAAATGTTTTAATTTTAAAATTAATGAATAATTGAATTCCATCTAAGAATTTTGTTATCTATAAAAGTAATTGAATTCTTGCGAAGAATTTTATTAAAATTTTTGAAAATCCTAATTAAATTCTGTTGAAGTATTTCACTGAATTTTTTTAAAAATTCAATTCTGAGACTTAAATAAATAAATAAATAAATAAAATAATACAGTTTCTTTAAAAATTTTAATTAAAAATTTTTTAAATTATTTATATTTTATGAATAATTTCTGTCAAGTTTTTAAAATAATCGTATTTGTTAATAATTGAAATTAAACATTTGATTGTTGAATTTTATTAAAATTTTTAGAAAATATTAAAATTCTTCTCAGAATTTTATTACAATTTTTTTTAAATAATTGAAATTTTATTAAAATTATTGATAGAAAGTTAAATTAATTTAAACAATTTTTTAAGAGTTTTATTATTAAATTATTATTTATGAAAATAATTGAATTCTTGCGAAGAATTTTAATCTTTTCATAAAAATATGAAAAATATGAAAAATATATAAAAATATATTTATATAATATATTTGAAAATAATAAATTTTGTAATTTGCGTTCAAGTGAATAAAGAATATGTTTAAATATTTTATTTATTTATTTTTATTTATTTATTTATTTATTTATTATTATTTTTTTATTTATTATTTTATTTTATTTATTTAAATATTTTTTCAAAAATTAGTAGAATAAAATGAAAAGAAAAAGAAATTCAACATTTTGAGAAAAAAATTTTTTTAAAAATTAACAAAAACATATGTACATATTGTTTAACTAAATTAGAAAAATAAAAAATTTAATTATTGTTAATAATTATTATAAATTACAATTTAATTTGTAAAATATTTCTAATTCACTGTAAAGTGAAATAATAAAAAAGAATTGACAAGATCAAAACTTATAATACCTCGAATTTATTAATAGTTTCCGGATAATTCTTTAAACTTCTGGAAATCAAATTTCTGACAGTTTTATTGCGATTATTGGAATTGAACGTCGAGTATCCTTTTGCAAGAGCAAATATCAAATAGTCCTCTCTATCTGAAAAAAATTTTTTTATAATTTTTATTTTATTCTATATTTTTTTTTTATTTTTATTTCATGAACTAAATTAAAAAAAAAAATTTTAACCAGAAAATACAGTTAATTTAATTTGTTACAAAGCTATTTATTTAGTTTTTACTTTTCACTAAATTTTTTCATTCTATTTCATATTATTATTTTATGTATCTGCTACATTATTGTATTTTATTTTGCAGTATTCATTATTGTACATAGAAGAACAAAAAATTTGTTTAATTATACTTTTTTAAAGAAAATTTACCAGATGCGGAGAGCGAGGCCAAAAATCTCTTTGACGGTGAATCTAATTTATTATCAAAGGACAAAACACAAGGCAGCAGACACAACATGATTATTTTTAGTTTCATTTTGAAATCTGCAAAAAAGGAAGGTAATTTTTTTATAATCCAATTTTCACTTTATTTATTTCATTTTATAATTTAAAAATTAATTTTAAAATTAATTTTCCACATTGAAATAAGTTTGAGATTAAAAATTTTTTTTTCAAAATCAATTTCGCAAATTGAAATACGTGTGAAATTAAATTAAAAATTTTAATTAAAATTAAAAAATTTTAATTCATTTACATTTATTTAATATTTATTTATTAATTTAATTTATTTTTTGTAAAAATTTATTTCAATTTAAATTAAATTAAAAATTTCAATTGAATTAATTTCGTGCCGAGTGACAAATCTGCGATTTTCGTTTGATAAAAAAAGTAATTAATAAAAATTATTATTACCAAAGTTAGTAAACGAGTGGATGTTTATTTTTCCATGGAGAATTAAAAAAAAAATGGAAATTATATCGAAATACTTTCCAGAGGGATGAAAAGTATTTTTGTTTTTTTGTTTTTAAATTTCATCAATTGAAACGTTTCGTAATGGGGATAAATTGTAACTAACATTGTTTTGTTTTTATTTCAGATTTATAATAGTTGAAGAAGATGAAGTCTTAATCCCTTGTTGACACTATCGTTTGGAAATATGATTAATTGATGGAAAAGGATCAATGGATTTGATTGAGATTTTATTTTATAAAGCCATAAATCTTTCAATGATAGTAAAATATATTTTTCAATTATTATATACTATACTATATCGTAGATACTTGCTGATTATCGAGGATATCCTTTTTTTACTTTCTTATTTCCTTATCCACTTTTTATTTACTACGTCATAATGGCAAATATTATTCTACACAATAATTCCAGATTAGACGAATTATTATTAACGAAAGTTTCACAAGAAACGATTTTTTCTTTTCTAATTTCAAGAATTTCCTTGTTAAGATTTTTATAATTTCATTCATTTTTAAATAATTTTGTCGAAATTTTTAAAAAACGAAAACTATTTAAATTTGTCTATTTATTTTATTGTTTTATTTATATTTATTTAAATCAAATGAATTTTATTTCAGAAATTGATCTATTTTTCTAATTTTAGTTTTTTTTCTAGGAAATCAATTTTTGATGATGAAATGTAAGGAAAGGGATTTTTTTATTTAGAGATTTTAGAGATAAAGAAGAGAATTTTCGAAAGGAGTGGGTTCCAGTGATGGAAAAAGAAGAAAAGAATTTGCGACGGTGGTGTAAACAATGCCATGGTAACGATTAACGCTACATCTATATAGGCATATAATAATGCATCTATTTTGTAATTATAATTTTATTTTGCAGTGTGTTACAATTTTTTTCGATTTTAGCGTGATGATAACAATTAGAGAACTAGAATAATTTTGAGAGGAAAAAAATAAGAAGTACAATAGTGATTATTTTTCAAGAAGAAAAATGGGAAATACCGAGAGTAATGTTGCAAGTGCTGTGAAAAAGCAGACAGATACATCATCTATTGTTCTTTACAAATTAGTCGACTTAAAAGGTATTTCATTGTTAAATTTATGATTTATAAATTATAATATTTTTTATTACAATAATTATTTTTTCTTGAAATTATTATTGCAATTATTATAGTAATTATTTTGATCATTATTAACTATAATAATCTGATAAATCTGTATTTTATTATTTATTTATTCATATATTCTGCTCGCAGTTTGAGGTTTTGTTTTTGTTTTAAACACTTTGCTTATTAGATCAAAATTATACAGTTTTTCAATTTACCAATCATAATTTTTTATTTTTAAATTGAAAATAAAACTGAGAAGTTTAAAAAATTTTTATAAAATGAAGGAAAAAAAATATATTTTTGATTTGTCAATTATATTTTTTGGTTACAAAATTTTTAGATTCTTTTGGAAAAAAAATTTGTGTAATTTTCGTTTTTTAATCACAATTTTTAAAGAAATTATAATTTTTTTTAGAAATTAATGAAAAAATATTTGCAGACTTTCTATTTCATAATATTAGAATTTTTATAAAAAATCCTGCTTTTCTTTTTTTTTTCTGGAAAGGAAGAAAAAATAAATAAATTTGGAAGAGATAAATATTTCTCACTCACAATTTTTTTAAACAAATTTTCCAGTTTTTTAGTAATAAATAAATAAAGTTTACATAAAAAAAACTGACATAATTTCTATTAAATAATTTGGTTCACAGTATATTATTTAGTATTTACTAAATTAATTAATTAATCCAAACAAAATAACAGCACAATATTTACTAAATTATTTTTATTTATTTATTTGGTAGGCAGAATTATTAGTTATTAATAATAATTTTTTTTGTTCATTTTCACTTTTGAAAATATTTTGCTATTTCAATATTATCTTAATGGCAGAGAAGAACATTTTTCATGAAAAAAAAAGATTTTTTGAAAAAGTATTGTAAAAAAATTTAAACTATTCTCTTTCATTAGGTGGTGGATTATTGGTGGACATGATGAAACGAGCATCACAAACGAAGCAATTTGCAGAATTAGATCACACATTACGAACGAAAGTCGAACCATTTTTGTACAATAAAGGAAAAGGCAAATGGATTCCCATCGATAAATTAGTTATGCTTCGAAATAAGGATCGTCCTAAACACAAAATGGTATCATCACTTTTTCTACTTATCACTATTTTTTTAATCATTCTTATCGAATTTTACTTAATTTTAGAAAGCATTCCATTTATAAATCATTATATCCCTTTCATATTTAAAATTTTTTCATTTAAACTTAAATTAAAATCTTCCGTATTAATAATAACTATTGTTTGCCTTTTTGTTTCCTAACTTTTTAATAATTTTTATTTTTAAATGATTTCAATTTTTAAATTAATGTATTGAAAATCATTGAATTCTTGCAAAGAATATATCAAAAAATTTGAAATTAATCGAATTCATTCGAAGAATTTTATTCTTTATAATAAAAAAAATAATATTGAAAAAAATTGAATTCTTACCAAGAATTTCGCATTCAAATTTTTGAAAACCCTAATTAAATTCTTTTGAAAAATTTTTTTTAATATTTTCAAATAGAAATTGAATTTTTTTAAAATAATTTTAATTGAAAATTTTGAAAGTACAAATTGAATTTTATAAAGAATTTATTTCTGTCAAGTTTTTAAAATAAACGTAGGTATTTGTTAATAATTGAAATTAAACATTTTATTATTGACTTTTATTACAATTTTTAGAAAATAATTCATTTCTTCTCAAAAGTTTATTACAATTTTTTAAAATTATTTAATTCATTCAATGAATTTTATTAAAATATTAAAAATAATTTAATACTTTCAAAAAATTTCTTTAATTTACATTGAATATAATTGATTTTATTAATAATTGTAATTAATAATTGTATTATTAAATTTTACTAAAATTATTAATAGAAAATTAAATTCTTTTAAACGATTTTATTAGAATTTTTGTAAATAATTAAATTATTTCGAAAAATTTCTTTAAGTTTTCTTAATATAATGTAGCTTTTTTTAATAACTGTAATTGGAAATTTTGTAAATAATTGAATTAAACAAAGAATTTTTTTAACTTTTTAAAATACCTGATCGTGACTTATAATTAAAAATTGATTCTTTAATTTTATTAAAATTGTAGTGAAAATAATTGAATTCTTTAGAAGTATTTTATTATTATTTATGAAAATAATTGAATTCTTGCGAAAAATAACTATTTTATAAAAATAATTAAATTGTTTTGAAGAATTTATTAAAATTTTAAAAAATAATTTAATTCTTTTTAAAAATTTTATTAATAAAAATGTTTAAAAATAATTTAATCCTTTCGTGAAATTTTATTAAAATTGTATTGAAAATTAATAAATTAAAAAAATTTTGAGTTTGAAATTATTCAAAAATTGAAGTTTATATTTGAAAATAAAAAATTTTTGAACATTTGCTAAATTAAATTTTTTTTTATTTTTAATATTTTATTATTATTATAATTAAAATACTAATAATTTTATTATTATTATTAATTTTTTAATTATTTTTTGATAAAGCTGCCTGTTTTGAAAGCAATGGAAAATCCGGCCGATTATGATGTAGACAAAGACATGGGCGATGAGGATCCAGACGAGAATACAATAGGTAATGAAAAATTTAATTAGTGTTTTTTTTATTTACTTATCATGAAATTAAAAATTATTAAAATTAAATAAAAAACTGATTTTTTGAAAAGATGAATAATTAAAAGGAAAAATAATTTTTTTGCATTAAAAGAAAGAAGAAAAATAAAAAGAAATATTTGATGAAATATTGTTACTATTATATATTCTTTTATCAACATTATTAGTTATTATTATAAATAATAATTATTATTGTTTATTAAAATGAATTGAATTCATTAAAATTGTGAAATTACTTATTATTAATATTGTTTTATTATTTTACAGATAAAAGCAAGTACAGATTAGTTTGTTGGAGTTTGAGTGAAAGAGGTGCAGTTGGCGAAACTATTTTACATTTATGTATGCTGCATGCAACTGCAATTCATGCCGATTTGGGAAAACGTCTCTTACGCTTTTATCCTACTCTAATATGCGACATTTATCTTAGCGATGAATATTACGGTAATTAGGTGTTCTTTATTTTTTTATTTCATAATTTGTTTCACTTTATCGGAAAATATTTCCTTACAATTTTTATTTTTAATTTAAAAAAGAAAAATCGATTGTGAATTTTGAAAAGGGTTCAAAATCGTAAGTCTCATTTCCACTATCTATTGTTACTTGAAAATAAGACTTACGCTTTTTCAAACCTGGACCCTCTTTTGAAATTCTCGATTAAAATTATGTTTTAATTGATAATATTTACATAAAAAATTAAATACTTTCTACCGGTATTATGAAAAAAAAAAATTCTTTTTTGTTGTCATTCGAATGTAAATATTTTAGTTTTACTTCTTATATATTGCGTAGGAGAAAATGTTCTACACATGGCGATAGTTAATGAAGATCCAGCGACAGTGAAATTTCTTCTCGACAGTGGTGCAGATTTTCATGAAAGATGCTTTGGAAATTTTATGTGTCCCGAGGATCAAAAAGCATCGAGATACGATTGTTTAGATCACGAATGGGTTTCAGTGGCACCTGAAACCAATTACGAAGGGTAATTCAAAATTACATTCATTTCATTTGCGTCTTTAAAGTTTAAACCGATAGAAACACTTTTTATTCTATGATAAAAGTATTTCTAAAAAATATTTCTATTTTATGAAAACTTTCAAGAATGAATATAATGATAAATTCTATAAACAAAGCAATGAGATAAAGTAATTGAAAATTTTAGAATTAATAAACATAATTAAATTTAACTTTGAGAAAAGTTTATCATGTGTTGAATCTGATGACAAGAAAATATTTTTGAATTTTAAATTTTTCACAAGTTCTGGTAAATGTTTTGTTATTTTTTTAAAGCTACGTTTATTGGGGTGAATATCCATTGAGTTTTGCCGCCTGTCTGGGCCAAGAGGAATGTTATCGATTGATGCTAGCAAGAGGAGCTGATCCTGACAAACAGGATACAAATGGAAATACCGTTCTTCATATGCTTCTTATTTATCAAAAGATGGTAACACTCAATATTTTTATTACTAAAAACTTAAAATAGAAGAAAATATAAAATTTCAATTATACAAAAATTGAAAATTTCAGTTTAATAATTTTATCTTTGATTACCAAAAATATTCAAACACAAAATTTAATCTCATTATTTCGTGATTAAAGACCTTTATCCAAAGGAATACAGAACAACAAAATAAATAAATAATCAATTAACATTTAAAAAAGTCAAATTTTATTATTTATAATATTTTCTGAAAGAACAAACACCAATTTTTACTTTGTTCTAAATAAGTAATTCTTTCGGTCTTAAATTTTTGTCTTGAAAATCAGTATTTTTGTTCTTTCAGAAAATGCTAGATATTAATGATAATATTTTAATTACATAAATACTAATTAATTATTATTTTTATAGAGATCTGCATTCTTTGCAGAAATTCATTTATTTTTGTTGAATTTTAATAAAATTTCACGAAAAAGTTCAATTATTTTTTTTAATTTTCAATAAAATATTTTGAAATAATTCAATTATTTTCTAGAATTTTCATAAATTCTTCGAAACAATTCAATTATTTTTATAAACAGTAAAATTCTTCGCAAGAATTAAATTATTTTTATAAATAATAAAATTCTTTTCATAATTTCAATTATTTTCAATACAATTTTAATAAAATTCAATAAACAAATTTTCAATTATAATTATCAACAATAACGATTATTTTAAAAAGTTTTAAAAATTCTTTGTTTAATTCAATTATTTTCAAAAATTTTAATTAAAATTTAAAATTATTGAGAACACTACATTATTTTCAAAAAACTTAAAGAAATTTTTCAAAAGAGTTTAATTATTTACAAAAACTCTAATAAAATTATTTAATAGAATTAAATTTTCTAGCAATAATTTTAGGAAACTTTAATATTAAAATTATTAATTGCAATTTTGAACAAAATGGATTATATTCAAAATATTACAGAAGTTTTTTGAAAGAATTCAATTATTGTCATAATAGTTAATAGTAAAATTTAATTAAATAAATAAAAAAAAATTAATTTAATTAATTAATTAATTAAATTATTTTCAATGTTTTAATAAAATTCCTTGAATAAATTAAATAATTTTTAAAAAATTTAATAAAATTCTGAAAAGAATTTAATTTTTTTCTAAAAATTTTAATAAAATTCAATAATTAAATATTTTTAGTTTCAATTATCAACAAATCAGATTATTTTAAAAACTTAAAAGAAATTCTTTATAAAATTCAATTACACACTTTCAAAATTTTCAATTAAAATTATTAAAAAAAAAACCCGACTATTTAAAATATTCAACAAAAAAAAATGTCAAAACAATTTAATTAGGATTTTCAAGAATTTTAATAAATTTCTTCACAAGAATTGAATGACTTTTTATTTTAATATTTTAATAAAATTCCTTGAATAAATTAAATTATTTTTAAAAATGGTAATAAAATTCTGAGAAGAGTTTAATTATTTTCTAAAAATTTTATTAAAATTCAATAGTTAAATGTTTTATTTCAATTAATAAAAAACACGATTATTTTTAAAACTTGACAGAAGTCAAGAAGTTTTTTTTTTAATAAAATTCAATTACTTTAAAAATTTTCAATTAAAATTATTAAAAAATTCCATTATTTAAAAAATTTTTTAAAAATTATTCAAAAGAATTTAATTTGAATTTTCAACAATTTCAATAAAATTCTTTGCAAGAATTCAATGATTTTCAAATTTCAATACAGTAATTTTAAAATTAAAAACATTTAGGAAGAATAATTATTTAAAATAGAAGAATCTAATAATTATAAAAATTAAGAAAAATTAAATAATTGATAATTATCAATTATGAGGTATAGTATTTAATAGAAAATAAATAACTTATTAAAATTCTCATATATTGTTTTTTTTTGTTTTTCTTTTTAAAATATATTATATTATATATTATATATTATTATATATTATATTTGACCAAGTGATAAATTCTATTGATATTATAACTAATTAAAATTATTATTTCTCAAATAGACGACTTTTGATATGGCGTATGAAGTGGGAGCTTCACTATCTGTACGCAATAATCAACATTTAACGCCATTGACATTAGCTGCAAAATTAGCGAGAATCGAAATGTTCTTCCACATTCTAAACATCGAGAGAGAAATCTATTGGCAAATTGGCAGCATCACGTGTGCTGCTTATCCTCTTTCACAAATTGACACCATCGATACAACCACGGGGAAAATTAGCAAAAATTCCGCCTTAAATCTCGTCGTTTTTGGTGTAAGTCGATTTTTTAAATTCTCAATTCATTCATTAATCACCATATGATCAATTATAATTATAATTTTATTATAAGCGACGTACAATATAAATAAAATTATTTTATTTTTTAATACTTGAAATGAAAATTATTGTTCTCTAATTATATTATTATTAATTTTAATTATCTCAAATTATAAAGTAATAAAGTTATTTTTTTTTTACAAATTTTTGCTCTTTTACATTTTGATTTACTTCATTTTTAGGACAAAGACGAGCATCTCGAATTGATGGATGGCGTTCTGGTTGATCTTCTAAACGCGAAATGGAATACTTTTGTAAAATCCAGGCAAGTTCGACGTTCAATTTTTATTTTCACTTGAAATTGAAAAATCTAAAATTCAAATCTTTAAGATTCGGATACTTTTTCTCCAAAATGAATAAAAATAAAATTTCCTTTATTTATTTGAAAAATAAATGAAAAAAAAAAAAAAAAAAAAAAAAAATAATAATAATAATATAATAATAATATTATTATTAATATAATCAATTTATATTTAATTAATTCCTAAAATTAACACAATTTTTTATTATATAAAAAATATATATATATATATATATATTTTTTATATTTTTTATTTTTTATTATATTATTATTCCAAAAAATATTTTTTGGAAAATAATTAAATAAATTAATGAAATTAAATTTGTCGAACAAGAAATAATTTATTTAGAAATAAATTTTAGAAAAAGAATTCTTTAATTTTTAATTTCTAACATAAGTTTGCCATTTGAATTTATATTCTTGTCATCTTTTGTATTTTTCTATTTTAAAATTTTTATTATTTTAGAATAGAATTTATTGTTCCGCTTATTTTTGTAAATAACAAAAAATAAAATTAATAAAACAGTTTTTCTAAATTAAAAATAAAATATTTTCTGTCATATTTTATTTGGAAATAAAATAGAAGAGAATTAATAGAGAAATGGAGAGAGTACAGAAATAAATAAAAATAGTTTCAAATTGCAATTTGTTCTTTTGATTCTATAAAAATAAAAGTTTGTCGACTTTTTTCAGATTTTATCGACAGTTCTTTTTGTTCTTTTTCTACTTTATTATTTCACTCATTGGACTCACCCTTCGTCCTGGACCATTGTCGAAGGATAATCAAAATTCAGAAAATACAAGTTCACCAACGTCAAATCCCAATGCGACGGATCATACGGCAACAACGATTTTAATTGAATCATGGGGCGCATCTCAATTATCATCGATAATAACAAAAAATTTAGCCGAACATTTATTGTTCAATGTAAATTCAACTTTTAATGTTACGCCGACGTCAATGGAAAAAGTAACACATCAAATAACATCCGACATCACTGCCAATCTTATGAATGTTTTGCGAAGTTGACGACACGATTTCGCATTGGAGGGGACAATTTCGACATTCTTAAAAAATCGTGAAAATTTCCCTCTCGATGGCAATAAGAATTTTACGACACCAAATTATTTTTCTGACACGACCTCAGGTGATGAGGAATTGAATATCACAGAATTGTGTTCAAATGAGGGTTGTCATCGAGACGAGGACGACTGGTATATTTTTTATTTTTATTTTAAATTCAATTTTTGTTTAAATTAAAACTAGAATTATTATTATATAATAATAATCAAAATATTCTACTTTCTCATGAAGTTAGGGCTTTTTGATTCCAAATAGTTTTACAACTGAAATTGGCATGTCAAAAAGTTTCATAATTAATTTGTAAATAGAGTGATTAGTGTTTTAAATAAATTAATTACCCTAGAATTTTTACAATAACAGGATTTTCACTGGGCAGTAAGGTAATGAAATTGTATCCAAAAAAATATCAAATTATTTATCATTTTAAATAGTCTAGGAATTTTTTTTCTCAAATAAAAGAAAATCCAAAAGTAGAGTTACAGTTGCAATTTTTAGAAATAATCAATTATTTTATCACTTATTTTTGTATTTAATTTAAATAATTGAATTCTCGTAAGACTTTTTGATAAAAATTGATTTGAAGAATAATTCTTCCAATTATTGGAAGAATTGCAATTCAAATTTTTAGAAATAATTAAATTTCCAAAGGTTTTACATTGAAAGTATTTTGACATTTTAATTCCTGGCAGACAAATAAATAACAATAAGTATTCAAATATTTATGAAACAAAAATTAAAGAAATTTGAAAAATTTTATTTAAAAATTCTGAAAAAGGAGGTTTTTAAAAAATTCGTAATTAAAATTTTTTGAAAATAGTTGAATTCCAGAAAATAATTTTAAAAAATTGAAAATTTTCTCAACTTTTATTAAAATAAATTTGTTATTTCAAAGATTTTAATTTTCTCAGTTTAAAAAATAAATTTTAAATATTTTTTTTTTTAAGAATTTTAATTAAAAATTTGTGAAATAATTAAATCTTACGAAAATTGTTGTATTTAAATAATTAAATCATCGTAGTTGAATTCTAATAAGAATTGATTAGAAAAAGAATTTCTGTTAAAATTTTGAAAAATAATTGAATATCAAAAGCGTTATAACAGGAATTTTGAGAAATAATTAAATTTTAAAAGTTTTCTAAATATCAAAATATCTTTAACATTTTAATCGCCGTAAAAGTATAATAATATTTAAATGTTTATTTAAAAACATTATTAATGTATTATTTTCCTTTGAAAATAATAATTAAACTTTTGAATAATTTTATTTAAAAATTCTAGAAAATAATTGATTTCTGGAAAAATTGCAGTTGTAATTTTAAGAAATAACTAAATTTCAGAGCGTTTTACATTGAAATTATAGAAAATTTCAATTTAAAAAAATAACAATAAGATATTAAATATTTGTTTAACAAAGTTATTAACGTTTTGAATAATTTAATGTAGAAATTCTAAAAAAAAATTAGGTTTTTGGTAAAATGTAATTAAAATTTTTTTTGAAGATAATTGAATTCCCAAAAATAATTTTAATAATTGAAACAGTTTTAAAAAAAAAAACAGTTAACAGTTTAAACAGTTAAAAGTTTTGTCAAATTTCATTGAAGAAAATTTTATATTTATAAGAATTTAATTTTATTACGTTTAAAAATTGTTTGAAATATAATCGTATTTTTGAAAAATTATATTTTGAAAACTTAGGATATTTCTTAAAAAATAATAAATTTTCATTAAACTTCAAAAAGAAAATGTTTGTAACTAACAAATGGGGTCTAAAATTATGTCGTTAAGATATTTAAATATTATTCGATTTAGTTGAATACTGTAATGAAATAAATGTAAATTCAATTTTAAGTTCTTCACAATTTTAATTTTAATTAAATTTTAATTTAAAATTTGTTTAAATTTTCAGAGTTAGAAGAACTTTATTTTTTTCAAAAAGGAAAATACGTTTTTTCATTAATTTTGCCATTTGAATTTTAAATTTCATGTTTAAAAAATTCGTAACTTTCAAAAGAACGAAATACATTTTTAATACAAATATTTTCGAAAATTACTCACTGAAATAAAAATTAATAACATAAATTAAATACTTTGAAAACTTTTTAATTATTTTTTAATATAATAAAATCGACCTAATATTATTTAATAAAATTCGAATTTGAAAATGAAATAAGTAAATTTCGTTCATTTAAACATTCGGAACTTTAGGGACTGAAATTTTCATCTTGCTTTTTGTAGCTTTAAATTCGAGCTTGAAAATAAGTTTTTAAATATTAGTATAGATTCAAAATTGTTTTAAAATATTTTTTCAAAATTATGTTTATTTCAGGTGGGATGATCTTGCGGAGGAATGTCGACTCATGCAAATGACAAGTACAGTGGCCAAAATTCGTTTAACAGCTGAAATTTGCATGGAAATTGGAGCAATTCTTTATATTGTCGCTGCCCTCAGAGAAGCAAGATTTCTTGGCCTCAATATGTTTATTGAAAATCTCGTAAGTCACTTTCAAAAAAGAGAAAAAAATACGTTTCTTAATGAAGAATTAATTATTGGTAAATCAAAATATACAGCAGATATAATGAAAAATAAATTTGAAATTTAAAAATAAATTGTTTATAATGAAATTACAATTAAATTTACATTTAAAAATTATTAAAATTAAACAATAATTTTCAAATCATTAACAGACATAAAGAAAAAAAGAAAGGAAAAAGTCGAGAACGTAATAAATAAAGAATTTAGAATCTATAATAAATAATAAAAAAAAATTAATTACTTACTGTGAGTTAATAATTAATAATTAATAAAACAAATAGATAAATTATTAGAAAAAATATAAAATAATCTTATTTGTTAAATTTAAAACAATGTAATAAATTATTTAAAGAAAAATAACGTCGAGAAGTAGAAATTGCTATTTTTTGTCAATATTTTTAGATGACCGCACCGTCTCGAGTGATGTTTCTATTTTCCTGCTGCATTTTATTGACATTTCCATTTTTGAGAATCGCCTGTGAAGACGAAGTCGAAGACATGCTCGCGGTTGTCGTCATGTTAACGACAGCTCCTTATTTTCTCTTCTTTTGCCGAGGATTCAAAACTGTCGGACCTTTCGTAGTAATGATTTATCGAATGATCATGGGAGATTTACTACGATTTGTTTCAATTTATCTTGTCTTCGTGATGGGATTTTCTCAAGGTATTAGAAATAGAACTTCAAATTTTCTCACTAATTTTTCATTAATTTAATAACTAGTTATAATAATTTTTAAATTATTAACAAAAAAAGAAAAGAAAACGAGAGAAAAAATCGAGAACGTAATAAAATTAATAATCTTAAAAAAAATGGAAAAATTCGATTTCGAATTTTTTCTTTACAGAATTGAATGAAATTAACGTAATTAATGCACGTTGAAAATTCTATTTAAACTTAATTTAAAATAATATAAATTGAAATGAAAATTAAATTTAAAAATTGTTCCAATTTAATTACTGGTAATAATAATTTTCAAATAATTAACAAAGAAGGTAAAGAAAAAACATTGACTTAAAATTTCTTTTATAGAATTTAATGAAATTAACATAATTAAATTGAATCTAAAATAGTTTCGATTAAAATAAAATTAAAAAAATTATTAAAATAAAGCAAAAACTTAAATTTTATAAAAAAGTTGTAAATTTCATTTAGCATTTTTTATTAAAGAAAAAATTACAATTGAATTCGAAATTAAAATTTATACATATAGTTATTTTTGAATTTGAATCATATATTATTGAAGTTAATTCTAGATTTTCTAATTTGGTTTTGGGGCGAAATTTAATATTATAATCTTTTATAAATAATTTGACGAAATTATTGGAAAACAACATAATGAATTGTTTATTTTTCATTTACAGCTTATTATATAATATTTTTGTCTTTTGATAATCCAAATACACCAGAAGGTGTTGACGATTCAGTTTCAAATCCAATGCCATCGCCAATGGAAAGTATAATGGCAATGTTTCTAATGAGTATGACAAATTTTGGCGATTATTACGTTGCATTTGAAAGAACAGCGCATGATTTAGAAGCAAAGGTAAAATCTTTGTTAATTTCTTTATTTTTGGCCTTTTTAATCATTTTCTTTTGTAAAAAAATTTTTTCAGAATAATATATGACAAATTTTTGTTTATTTCATTCTATTTCTTTTTTTAATTACCAATTTTTTTTTACTAATAACTAATTCCTTATTTTACAATAACAGACAAATTTTTGTTTATTTTACTCAATTTTTTTTTGAGTTAACAATTTTTTTAGGTACTATTAACTAACTTCTTTTTTTTACAATAATAGCCAAATTGCTTATTTAATTTAATTTATTTTTTGAATTAACAATTTTCTTTTTGATACTAGAAACATAGAAACTAATTACCTTTTTTACAATGCTAGTCAAATTTTTGTTTATTTAATTCAATTTGCTTTTTCAAATTAACACTTTTTAAAATAAAATATTTTAATAAAATTACTAAAAACTAATTTTTCTTTTGTACAATAATAAACACAACGTTAAATAGAATTGTTTTTTATTTTTATCTGATTTGGATTCATTGATAATTATTAATCACTTATAATAATAAGCAATGTTTATTTCTTTAAATCCATTTCTTTTTTCGAGTTAACAACTTTTTTTACTAATTAATTTCGTCATTTTTTTTACAATAATATTAGTTAAATTTTTTTTCATCTAATTTTTTTTTAAATTAATAAAATTTGTCTTTAGTAAAAACAAATCTTGTTTTTTACATAAATAGACAAATATTTCATTTTTAAATTCCATTTCTTTTTTCGAGCTTTAAAGTAACAATTTTTATTTATTAATGACTATAATTTCCTTTTTTTACAATAAATGGAAAAATTTTTTTTTATTTAATTCAATTTCTTTTTTGAATTCAAAACTTTTTGTGAATTTCACTAATTTCCCTTTATTTTACAATAATAGACAAATTTTTGTTCATTTTATTTAACTTCTTATTTTAAATTAACTATTTTCTGTACTAAATTTTTTACCAAAATTACTAAAAGACTAAATTCCTTTTTTTTTACAATAAATACAGTTTTCCTTATTGAGTTTCATATTTCTTTTAATTTGAATTAACAATTTTCCTTTACTAATAACTAATTTCGTTTTTACACGAATATAGAAATTTGTTTTTTATATTTAATTTTTCTTTTGAATTTAACATTTTTTATTTATTAAAAACGAATTTCTTTTTTTATAATAAATAGACAAATTTTTATTTATTTAATTTAATTTCTTTTTTCAAATTAACAAGTTTAACAATTTTTTAACAAAATTTTTTAACAAATATACTAAAAACGTAATTTTCTTGTTTTTACAATAAAAAACTCAACAAATAAAAAAAATAATAAACAAACTTTGTTTCTATTTAATTCTTATTTATTTATCTTTTTTTACAATAGACAAATTTTTGTTTATTCAATTAAATTTCTTTTTTATTACCAATTTTTCTTCACTAATAACACAATTCATTGATAGATTTGAAAATTAATTTAATCGAACGTAAAGCTCGTACTGTGGATTAATGAAAATTTAATTATTGCAGATGCTGTTTGTTTTATACATGGGGATTGTTGCAATATTATTGGTTAACATGTTGATTGCCATGATGGGAAATACTTATCAAAAAATTGCAGAAACCAGAAATGAATGGCAAAGACAGGTAGTATATTATAAATTATTATCTACTTAGGTATATTTTGATTTTAAAAAAAATTTTTTCAGTTTTTCAAAAATTTCCTTTCTAACGAAAGAAGAAAAAAAAATTAAGTAAATAAAAATATATTTAATTAATATCACATCAAATTCGAGACGGTACTTCTTAAAATAAAATACTTATTGAATGAATAATACTTTAACCCAATAAGATAGTATGTCAATAAGATTTAAAATTTTAATTACTGTCGCAGTTAAATTTAAAATTAATTAAAAAAATAATTCAAAAATAATTTTTATTTTAATTCCAATAAATTTTATTCATTTTTCTTTAATTCATGAAATATTATTGATTTAGATATTGTGGTAATTTGACGAGAATATTATTTGATTAAATAATTTTTATTCTTTTCCTCTCTTTTTTTTTAATTTTCAGAAATATATGAATATTTTTATTCAGAAATAGAAAAAATATTTTCATTTCATGTTCTAGTGGGCGAGAATAGTGTTGGTAGTCGAGAGAGGAGTCAGTCCCGCAGAGAGATTAAAAAAATTAATGGATTATTCAGAACCAATGTCCGATGGACGAAGAGCATTAGTTTTAAGGCTTCATCAGTCTGTGAGTATCCTCGATATAACGTTAAATTACAAGACTTGTTTTTTTTTCAATATATATTTTCCGTGAGATAAAATTTTTGAATCATTAATCAATTTCTATTTCATTATTCATTCAATTTTACTTTATATGAAATTTTATAATTCATGTAGTAATTTTTTTTTTTTTTTAATAATTAAAAATTAATTTTTTTTTCTAGACTAAATTAATTTTTGTCATCATATTGAAATCGAATTTTTTTAAATTGAGATATTCTTTAGTTCAAAATTATGTAGCAATTATTTAATAATAATTATTAAATTATTATTATTATTTAATAATTTATCTAATTATTTAATTCAATTGAAAAATTTAATTGAATTGAAAGATTGAAACAGAAAAAGAAGAGAATTTTTTTTCATTAATGTAAAAAATTAAGAAAAATGAAAATATTTTTCAGGAATCGGATAAACAAGAAATGAAAGAAATTCTCGAAATGAAAAGAACACATGACAAATTGGTGAAAAAGAAACAAGAGAAACTTCAAAGTTTAGAAAAAGAAAAATTCAGATCAAATTCCACAACAATGAAAATGAACAATGAATGAAAAATATGGTAATTTTTTTCAAGAACCAATAAAAATTTATTTCTCAAACTTGTAAAACTGCCCTCAAGCAATTATTTTATTTAAAAGACTAAATAAAAGAAAAAATTGTAAATTCTTCTAAAACTTTGAAAAAATAGATTTTAATTAAAAATATAAAAAAAGACAATGAGAATTTTGTTGTGTGTGTTAATTTTATAATTATAGAAAAGGGGAGAAATATATTCATTGTGTCGATACTTTATCAACTTTGCCGACTTTCCTAATGATTTAATAACGTATCATTATAAACACGCAATCCAAGTTACTTACTATCATATAAGAAAAACTTGAACATATGATACAATAAAAAATGGGGTTAATTTAGAGCGCGCGATCTCATATTCTCGAAAGAAAATGAAACAAATTAAGGTTTTCAAAGTGATTATAACTGTTATAAAACTTGACTACGCAGTTTATTGTTTTCGTTGTTTCACTTTTAACCTTTTATTAAAACAAAACAAAAAAATTAGTAAATTGTTGAACCATTAAAAAGTTTTTGACTCTAATGATTTATTATAATTACATTTTCATTATTATTATTAACATTATGATTATTATTATAAATAATAATAATATCTATTGTTATTATAATTATAATAAAATAATAATATCTATTTATTATTATTATTATTAGATATTATTGATAGTATTATTATTAAATCTGACAAAACTTTTAGATTTAATTTTCAATTTTTATTTTCTAATCTTTATATACTTAACAAACATTATGATTATTAAATAGAAATTACGGTCATTTTTTTTATTTCTTTTTAAAAAATCCCAATTTTCATTATGCAAATTTTTTCACCTTTTTTTTTAATAATATTTAAATTTTGTTAAATTTCGAATTTTTTTTTAGAAATAAATAAAGAAATGTGCAATTTCGATTTGTCAGACAAAAATTTTCACAAAAACTTTCACTTTTTTGGAAAAAATGAAAAAAATTTGCATGATCTTCATTCTATTCTTATTAAAAAAATATTATTGAGATTTTGTTTAAAAAAAATTGTAATAAAAAAATAGAAATTGTGCAAAAAAAAAAGAAATATTAAAAATTGTAAAAATAGTGTGATTGACAAATCGAAAAAATTAAGATTTTTTCTATGTTATAAAACTGTTTCAAAATTCCTAATTTTATTTTCAATTAAAAAATAGATATTAAATTCTATTTTTGTAACCCTTTTTAAAAATATATACGTACTTGAGATTTTGTTAAAAGATGTTGTTGATGAAGAGATAAAAATTATACACATTTCTTTTATTTATTACTAAACAAAATTGAAATTTTGTTAAAAAATTTATTTCATTTTTCTTCTTTTTCAAAAAAAAAGAAATTATGAAATAAAAATTATGCAAATGCTTTTTATTAATTTCTAAAAAAAATTATAATTTCATTAAAAATAGTGACTAAAAATACAGAAATTACACAAATTCTTTTACCAAAAGAAACAAATAAAAATTTGGTAACGAAAAAGTATGATTGCCTGCGGACAGAATGAATGAATGAATGAATGAATAATGGAAGTATCAGAATATTATAGTTAATTAGCAATAATTAATAATTAATTAATATTCTTGTTTAATTTTTTTACTATCCTCTTCTCGTATACATGTTTGCTTTTGGTTTATTATTTCATTATTATTCTCCTTTTATGCACCCTTTTCCGGTTGTTATACGTTATTTAAAGATTTATTAGTGCAATTATTAATTCTTATGAAAAAAATAATTAATATTGTAATTTGTAATATATTTATAAATACTATTATGAAAGTGTCGCAGCTTTGTGGTTAGTGTATTAGGCTTCAACTACGTGGGTCGAAGGATCGATTCCCCTCATATTATACTTTCATTTATATACTTTTATATTATATTGTAATTTATTTATTCACTTTTATTTTATTATTAATATTATTATTATTTTTATTATTATTGTTATTATTATTGTCATTATTATTATTAGATTAAAATAAATACTGCAACTAGAAATTATTAATATAAAGAACGATTAGATTTTTTAAGTAATTAATAAGATTACCATACAGACATCCGAACCAGAGAAAATTCAATGACCTAGGGTTGCCACGCTTTTGCTCATTTCAAATATCCTGACTTTTCCAGGATTTTTCAGGTTAAAAACGGAATTTTTCCAAGTTTTTAAAACTACATTTATATTTTACAAAAGTAAATAATTGGCAATAAATTTTTTACAAATACATGGAACTTTCATATAATACCCTATTGCGCATTGTTATATTGATCATTTAAAAATAAATATGTTATAATTTTTCCATAAGAATTAAGATTTTCAAAAATTTCAAATTCAAACCTTTTTGAAATTAAACAACTTATAAAAAATTGTTATAAAACATGACTGACTGATTAAATCATTATTTTATATTATAAGAATATTGTTACTGTAACTTATTCGAAATTACTTTCACCACTTTAATTCCATTATTGTTTTCCAGAATTTTTAATTAAAATTCTCCTTTAAATTAATTATTTTTAATAATTTTTGAAAAATTTCTTTGCAAATTTTCAAATTCTTTTGTTTACAATTCAATTTTACGAAATTTCATCGATTATTCGGAAATTCTTTGATCAAATATATATTGGAAAATAAAAACTTCAAATAACTTAAAAAAAATTCAATTAAACTTTTTGAAAAAATTAAATCTGCACAATTTTCAGTTAAAAGTATGAAAAATTCAAACATTCAAAGATTATAATTTGAAACCTTTTCTAAATTCAATTATTTAAAAAATGCACGCTATAATACTTTCTCTCTAAATTTGAATTAGTAAAAATGTTTACTAATGTGAATTAGTGACTGACTTTTTGTTTTTAAATAAGTAAATTTTACTATTTAATTAGTAGAAACGACTATTTATAAGTAAAATCTGCTAATTCAAAAGCAAAAAGTCAGTCACTAATTCAAATTAGAAACCATTTTTACTAATACAAATTTAGAGAGTTTAATATTCAATTATTATCTGAAATTTTAACTGAAATTCATATTTAAATCAATTTTTATTAGAAAATTCTACTAGAATTCAATTATTTAAATACAAAAAGTAAATAATTTATTTGAAAATTGAATGTTTTTTTTATAATTGAACTCTAATTTACAGAATTTTATCAACAAATTTTTATATATAGGTAATTAAAATTCTTTTGACGAATTTCAATAAAATTTTTAAAAATAATTTCATTTTTCGAGAAATTAGATTAAAATTGTATTAAAAATAATTGAAATTCCGCGATGAGTTTTATTATTTAATATTTATGAAAATAATTGAAAACCTATCAAGTTTTCTGATATTTATGAAAATAATTGAATTATTGGGATGAAATTTATAAAGAATTTGCAAATAATAGAATTCCTGTGAAATTTTTATTATTTAATTTATTCAAAATTGAAATTCTACAAAATTTTAAATTAAAACCTTATTTGAAGTTTATCTATTTATGAAAATTGTAAACGCAACTCTTTTAAAATTGAATAAATTTTGAAATATTTAAGAAAAATTGGATTTCAAAAATAAGTACAATAATTTAAAAAAAACTTTTGCAGGTTTTTTCAAGGTTTATTAAATTCCTTGACATTTCCAGGTTTTCCAGGTTTCCAGGTGGTGTGGCAACCCAGAATGACAGACTGACTGAAATCTTTTCTATTTTAACAAAAGATTCTTGCTTAGAACATGAATGTAAAAGATATTTATTCTTTTTTATATTTTCGTAAAACACATTTGTTTAACTTTAAATATTCATAAATTCTTAACAATTATTATTATTAATCAAAAATTGAAGTGATCGTTAATTTCAATTTTTGATTATTTGACGACTGAGTGATGGAATCATCATTATTATAATTATTATTTGTTATATAAAGTTTAATATTATAAAAATGATAAGAACAATTATTTATTTATTTACAAAATAATAATAAATAACAACGAAATTACACGATTCTAAAATTTAAATTCAGTAAGTGATTTTTAATTTAAGACAAAAATCCTTATTTCTTTCTTTTTTGCCGAAATTTTAAGTTGCAATGCCCATGTAATTTCTAAAAACATATTTTTCCTAAAAAATAATTTACAGAAAATTAAAAATTAATAGAAAAAAGTAAAAGAAAAAGAATTTTAGAGAATATTAAAAATTTATAAAAAAAAATCTTCGACAATTATTAGACGTGCTATAATTTAAAAAAGTTTTCGCAGTATGCAAGCGTATGTATATATATAATTAGGTATACACTACAGTAAATGAAGAAAAGGGTAAATTGAAATGTTTTTTTCTAATTTTAATTTTTGAAAGAAATTTTCCACGTCAGAAGGCAGCATGACGTGACCCTGATTTTTGTTTAAAGCGGCAGATTTCGAGGGGGTTGTATATTCTTAAAAGCTTGGAAAGCGCATTGAATAAAGGGATATACGTAACCCCAAGGGCGTCGATGGTCGAAGGGCGGAGTGCCGGGGGGAAAAAGCCAGGGGGAATAAACGCTTGTTGCTCCTTCGCGTCGTCTATGATATGGTTGGATATGGTGAACATATGCGCGATATGTATATTGTCATATACATGCTTACATTTGCGTTTTGTTTGCACTCTGATACAGATCTATGTTCACGCATATTCTTATTATACTTTTACTGTTTTACATCACCACTAATAGAAGGAGGAAAAATATCATCTCTATATTAAATACACTTTGCTCTGCTGGAGAATTACATTTTTTTCTCATCTTTTATTATTCGAAAAGAGAATCCACATTATAAGTATATTGTATTTTTGGAAAATTTTCCAAAAACTGCGTATTTTTCTTTTTTCTCATTGATGACTATTTTTTATAATAATATCGAAACAGCCATTACAATTATTTTTAAATAAAAAGGCCTTAAAAGCAGCCTAAATAATTAAAAGACGGCTTCAATAAAATAAAAGTACTAAGAAAAAATAAATTTTTAGAATTCATAACAAAAATCTGAATTTTTGTTTATTTGCCTCATAAACTATGAAATTATCACAAAACCTTCAATTTTTTCTATTTCTGATAATAATTTCTAATTAAATAACTTAATTCATAAATAAATAAACTTCAAAAGGTATTAATTTGAAATTTTACAAAACTTCAATTTTTAATGAATTTAATTAGAAATTTTTAAGAACTTAGATTTTTGAAATTAATTAAATTTGAAATAATAATTTGAAAAAATTTGAAATTATAAATTATTTCAAATTCTTCTGAAATGAATTACATTTTTTAATATACATATCTAATTAATTATTAAAAATAATGGATTTATAAATGAATTTTATTTAAAAACACTAAAAAATTT